AGGACGGACGGGTGGGTAAAAATCACTTCACCGTATTTATTACTTTAGTATTTCTACATGATAAATCAGACAGAAACGTAACGATCGCTGTAATTCAGCTTTAAATAACGATACGTACAGGAAGTGTGTTTGTGTGGTTCAGTAACAGATGTTCTCTGACCTACGCTTTGAGTTTCCTCTCCAGATAAATACGTTTTTAAATCTAAATATCCTGTAAATTTATCAAAGACACTGATTTAAATCAGGTCGTTTAAAGAGTTTTATAATCTGATGAACTCTTACTGTTAATAAAACGTGTTGTTATTGTGACTTGAGATGTTACATTCTTAATAAAAGTTGTTAATAACCTTTAATAATAACCTCTATAACATGTTTCCAAAGAAGAAGCTAATGTGCTTCTCAGTGAGTTAAAGGTTAACCTCGTGAGCGCAGGCGACGTCGCTGAAGCCTTCGCCCTGGATGTGGATGACCGTGTGGTGCGAGCCCTGGTTGGGGGAGATGGAGCGGACCGTCGGGGTGGAGCAGGAGGAGGTGCTGAAGGAGAGGCCGTCTGAAGTGTGATTGGTCTGTCGGCACTGCGGGGAGGCGACGCACTGTTGGGCCGATCTGGCAACACGACGCGAACCTGAAGGGGAGACGTTTGGTCACATGGAAACTTTCACTTTGAGGCGGACTCTCTCTCTGTGACTGATCCCTAAGAAACTGTTCTTCAGATTTAACTTCTGCTCCGGAGCATTTCACCCACATCCACACATTTACCTCCCATCACGTATCTGGCCTCCACCCCTCCCACGCTGATGGACACCCTGCTGCTCTTCTCCTCCCGAAGCTCCACCTTCACGACTCCCTGCAGCAGCTTGACTTCAGCATCGTCTATGTATCCACTGCTGTAGTAGTACACACCGGGGGAGGAGAAACGGTAGCTGAACAACCCTGGGGGGGTGATAGATAGATTGATTGATAAATTGATTGATACTTTATTTATCCCCTGGGGGAAACTCATGAAATGGAATAAATGGTCAGATGTGAAGAAGGTGAGATCATGTTTAAGTGAACTGAAAGAGTCGTGAGAAGAGACAGAGGTCGCAGCTTTATTCCACCAGGAAGAGGATGAACATGACCCATAATGCAATGCAAGAGCTGAAGGTAATGTAAGAAAAAATAATAAAAAAGATTATTAATATGCTCTAAATAAGGACGTCACACATTGTCAGAGGTTTTAATCCTTTTGGAAGCTTTTTGAAAATATCTGCAACTTAACTGAAAATAATTATATTTGTGTTTATGTTGTTTGTTGTTGTTTGTTGTTGTTTGTTGTTGTTTGTTGCTGCCTGACCCTGCTGCTCAAACCTGGCAAACTGTGTATAAAGTCGTTAAAACTTGCTCCAGCTAACAACAGCAAAATGCTACGTGCACATTGATGTGTCAACGATCTAATAATCTGATATAAATCAATGAACAGGAACATTCTGACATAAGGAAATAAAACTGATCATATCTAACTGTGTAAAACATTTGAAGATAGAATTGAAAGTGTTTTTCGAGGTGTGACTCTGTGACTCTGTGTTCCACCTTTGTCAGTTTTAGTCTCTCCGCTGGTGAACGCTCCCCCGTCGTAAGTTGTGCCACTCGGGCTGGAAACGCTGAAGACCCGGTATCCCACTCTCTGGAAGGCCGGCGCCTCCCAACGCCACGTCACCGTGTCGCCGACAGACACCGTGAGAGAGGCGGGACTCCACGCGTATCCCTGTCCATAAGCTGCAACACACAGATCTAAAGTTAGACAACCAACACACACACAATAACACGCAGGAGGAATCTCATTGTCTGAGCTTAAGCAACATGTCATTGAAATACTTGTGACTCTTTTTCTAAATGTGGCTGATTGTGGAGAAACTCGGGTCAAACAGGTTTTGAAATCTGTCTTTTCTGAAACTGTTCCTGTGCAGTCAGATTTCAGCTGCAGGCGACAGCGTCGCGCTCGCAGCACTTTTCTGTAAGCGAACCCTCGTCCTGTTGTTCTGGGCTTCAGTCTCAGATTCAGAGCGACGCCTGCACGGAGGGTGGAGAGGGAAACGTACTGCGGTGGGAGCCCTGGTTGGTGACGACGTGGGTCTTCTCCTCCGACTGCACCACACACTGCAGCTCGTTCTCCGAGGCGACCTTCACTTCACACGCAGCTTCTCCTGTCACACACCGACACAACAAGTGTGAGATCATGTATAACACCCGATGCTGTTACACTGTAGTGCAGCTTTTCCTTATTTGCATGTAGTTACATCGCAGCAGATAACCACTGGGTGATTTTCATATCCAACTCTGCCGATAAACCCTGAGCACAACAGACTGTTATGACGGTAATGATGCATTTTAAATCACTGGCACTTACCGACAGACACTCTGTTGTCAGAGGTGTTGTTGCTGAAACCAGAGCCAGACACAGTGAGTCTGGTTCCTCCCATTAAAGAGCCAAACAGTGGAGAGATGCTGTAGAACTCCAGGATGTATTCAATGGTTCCGTTCACACCGTTGCTGTGAAACATAAAACACAGAAAAGACTCAGATAAAGTCCCAAACGAATCCTCAACCAATCGTTTCAGAGCAACTGAAGATTCATTTCATCTGTTTTAATAACTGACTTCTGTGAATTCATCTTAGTCAGTGGGAATATTATATTAAATATCAATCAGGGAACATTTTTCTAAAGGAAGATTTAACTTGACATATTTGAAGATGTATCGCTGAGACTTTAACTGCTACTGCTGCTACTTCACATTTCTGAAGAGTCAGATCTTTGCAGCCTAAAGCATCCTCGGTTAACTCTGTGTTTGTGCATCTTGACGTCATTGAAAACGAGGGAAAACCTCAATGATCTGTGAGGAGTAAATAAATGAAATGAAATGAAGTCAACACCCCTGTTCGTTAGTCCGTGACAGAGCTGGATACCGCCGACCACAAACAAGGTCAATTATTATACTCTATTATTCACTTTTATTTCCTGGAGGTTTTATGTCTGTGTGATGCTGCAGCGCGGCTCTGTCAGTTTGTCGTACCTTGTCTGGGAGTAGCCGTTGTTTCCCACCTGTACGTCCACCTTGTGCAGACCGGGCGGCAGCACGGGGAGGAGACAGGTGATGTTCGTCTCCGTCCACTCCACGATGACGCACTCCTCTCCGCCTACGAGCACGACGCTGTCGTTGTCTCGGCCGCCCAGGTTCGAGCCCTGGACGGTGAGAACGCGACGTCCTGCAAGAGGAGACAAAAAGCATCAACAGGAAGAAGAAGATTGTGTCATTCGAGTGGCAGGATAATTAGCAGTTGTCTGCAGGATAATTCTCCTCTTTGTTCCGTCTGATTGTCCTGCACGCGAGCAGGTATTCCTGTTGTGAGGATGCTTCTGCTGTTTACTGTAATTACACAGGATGGCGTGTTAAGTCTCTTCTCAGCTCAGAGTCTCGAGGTTTAGCAACAGAGCAAAAACCTGAATGTCGACATTTTACACGCCACAGGAACAAGAGGTGTGAGCGCTAACGCCGCTTTAAGCCGTGTGTGAAAACCTCACGCAAGCTGCTGGCGACATGACGACCACTCACACATGTAATTACATTGATCTACTGTGCTCAACAGTCAGAGAGGCGAGAGGACACTGTGCACTGGTACCAGCAGGAGACGCAGCATCCCACCTGTACCTGCCTCCTGCGCTGGCGACCAGTCAAACACCTTTTATCTGTTTTTACATGGACTGACACCTGAACTCATCTCTGAGCTGCTCCGCCTCCTTTCCCTCCCCACCCCTCAGACCAGCTGCTCCTGGCTGGTCCTTGGTCCAGACTGAGGAGAAACACTGATGGGGACAGTTTACCTCTTTTAATCCAGTGTTCCTCCTCCCTCAACATTTTTAATTACCTATCTATTATCTTTCACTTTTACTCCTCATGTTTCTATTTCAAACTGTTTCCTGTCTGATGGTTAAGACTTCACACTGTAGCCGTCATCGTGTCGTGTGTGTTTGGTTGTGTATTACTGTACAGCACTCTGGTTGTTTTAAATCTGCTTTATATACATATATTTCTAGATTTATTTGATTTGATGTAACTGCTAGTAACTGGATCTATATCTGGCTTTATAACATTAGAAATGACCATTAATAGAACTGACTGACTCAAATTAAAAACACTGTCGCTCCCGGAGTGAAAGGACGGGAAAATGAATCCTGTTCTTTCCATAAACAAAGGACAGGTAGACCTCAGTACAGAATATATAGTGTCTGTTGGGTTCAGTACAGATTGAATTTCTATTGACCTTTAAGGACAAAACCCATCCTCCTCCATTAAAGCTGACTTTTCATTTAAATGAATCAAAGAACATATTCCCAGCAGTCCTCTGGGTTTACCCATCCCAGTAACTCTAGTAGCTGTGGTCCCACCTCACTGACAGGTCATTAAATGCACCACTGGTATCAAGAAAAGAACTGACCTGTGACTGTGGTGGTGCTGGGACTCATGGCTGAGATCTGTGGTGTGAGGTTGTTATCGTAGGTGAAGGAGCTGTTGGCGCTCTGACTCATGTTTCCCACCATCACCGTCACTGCGTGCGACCCTGCAGCTCCCTGATACAAGCCAAACAAGCATTTATTAATTATAGAACAAATAAAAGAATCTAATAAGTGACTGTAGTGTCTCCTTTAGAAAATGAAACCTTCCTCTTATAATTGAATTAATGTTTATGTTCCATGTTCCTGCTGCAGCTCTATCAGGTCTGGTGTAACCAGTAGCTCGTGGTGGCTAATGTTAGCTAACAGATAGACATTTCATTAGAATTACTTTCAAGTCACTTCCTGACTCATCCCTGCAAGTTACGCTACGTTTTAGTTTAGTAATTTTCCTGTTACTGCCACCAGACTGATGTTTTACTTATTATTATTCTTCAGTTTTAGTTTGTTACTGATGTATAATAACTGTCCTGAGCTGCAGGGAAATAACATGCAGTGGTTTTCCAGTCTGTGCACTTACTGCTGGAGTCCTGCACTTCAGCTGAGAGTCAGAGGCGTGAACCACGGTGCACTCCTCGCTGCCAACAGTCACTGTGGCGTTCAGGCTGAAGCCGAAGCCGCTCACTGTCAGCAGGGTTCCTCCTGAGGACAGACCACAGTTAAACTTCCTAATGAAATGATTTACAGGCGCTACTTTCTCTCTGAGTGACGACCTACCTGCCACGCTCCCAGACGCCGGGGAGAAAGAGGAAACGATGAGCTGGTAGGTGAAGCGGGGGGCGTTGCCGCCTGCGTAGCGTGAATCACCCAGAGAGGGGAAGCTGACCCAGACAGGGTAGGTACCTGCACTGGCGCTGCCCAGCCTGCACACCTGAGCGCTCTCTGAAATATAATTCACAGCAGCTCATTAAACTGCTTCGTCTTCATTTTAACAAACAAGCTGCAGCGTCCGCCTCGAACACTGACCTGTGATCTGTTCAACACGACACCTGGCCGCTCCCACCGTGATGGAGGCGTTTTCACTGCTGAAGCCGGTTCCGGTGACAGTCAGCAGAGTCCCCAGACCGTGAGACCCTGAGGAGGGGAGGTGCATTTACAACACCTTTACATTTACATAATAACATATAAGGACTAAGATATTTGTCTGTGAAAGCAAGAAAGAAAAATAAATGCTACAGCCCGGACTGAATATTTTCCATTATGGAATAAAAATTGTGTTTGGTGCCAAAATTTTTTGGATCTTTAAATTTTTAATTTGGTTGCAAATATTCTGCCTGAAATAATCAATCGTTAACCAATAACGCTTCGTGTTGAATGAACAGTCAATATTTCAGACGGCCACCTTGAGACGGGCTGATTCCAGACACGACCGGAGTCTTCTCCTCCGACCAGTCGAACCCACAGTCACCTGAACACTTTGAGGGAATCCCGTTGATGTAAACCTCCACCTGCGAAGAGTGTCACATGACTCCCCATCAAAAGTCATCAGGAAGTGAAGTTACTGCAGTCATAACAATATAATAATAGAGGACGGCAGCTGTCAATCATCCTCAGGACAAAGCAGTTATTAAAACATGCAACTGAAATCCTCCCTGGAGGCACGAAATATACAAACACAACAGCGTTATGCAACAGACAGAAATGTGACGTGCTCTGTAGGATTTAAACACATGAAAAGATCTGGATCTGGTGACGGACAAATAATCCTGAAACCTAAAACCAGAAGCGCCCGAGGCGTCTGCGTCTCAGTCGTACCTGTGGTTTGGTTTCCCAGACACGGAGAAAATCTCCTGTCAGGCTTCGTATCAGCAGCCCTCCCTTCTTCCTCTCACGGGCTGAAACCACTGCGTTTCCACCGACAACTGACGAGCTGTCGACCTGTAACCACAGTAAACCACAGTTTGAGTTTAAATAAAGACATGTATGATATATACATATTACTGGTACTATCAGTGGTGTTACAGTAGTAATACCACTACTACTGCTCTGACTTTAGTTTTATTTTACTCTCATACAAACAGCAAGAAAACAAATATAAACAAATAACATAATGATACAATTGATTATAAATACAATTAGGGACAATTAGAGACACAAGAGCAACGCAGCACCAAACAGCTGGTGAGAATAAACATCGTCAGGATTAATGAGAGAATAAAATGTTATGATGGTTTAACAGACAGGAAGGTGAAGTGTAAACCTGTCTTCTATTATGAGAATTAAACATGACGAGGTTTCCTAATGATGAACAAATACAAATGTCAAGAACATATATTTATATATATAACGACACAACTTAAAAAAGCTTCAAATAAACTTATTGTTAATAAAAGAGAAATATTAAGAAGTTAAATAAAGACAGAGTGACCTGGATCAGAGGCTGGTCTCCAGGCTGTGTGAGCCACTCCACCCTCCACTGGGGGCGTCTGCAGCTTCCCTGCGCAGCGACGCTGACCTGTCCCATCCCCGCGATCCCCTCCAGAGCGTACTTCAGGTCCTTCTCACTGATGTCCACCGACAGACCTGACAACAGTGCAGAGGTGAGCGCTGCGATATGTGACTCAAAATCTTTACTGCGTGTTTCACTGCCCCTCTGCAGCGTGTTAGTTCGGATCATATGCTTCAGCGTGGATCATAAAACGACGAGACATCAGTGTGTTTTTGCACCAATATCATGAAGACTAACTCCTAAACAGGGACATACGTGATATATGTTACACTTCTGTGTGGGAATAGTTTATAGTTTCGATGTGATTATTGCAGGAGTCGTGAGAGATGCGTCTTCTTTAACCCGCCTGAGTTGGTCAACAGTGTTTTACTAACTGAGTTTCTGGCAAAGAGTGAAGACCTGAAAGTGACAGCGCTGGGTTCAACTCTCTGTCTTTGTGTTGTGCACAGTAAGTTTTCACAGCAGCTGAGAGGAGGAGTGATGGAGCACAAATCAAGACGCTGCTCATGCACAGCAGTGAATGAGTTTAACCTTTCGGATGATAATATCTGTGGAACACGCGGCCAGGACAGATAAAGTTATTACAATGCAAATGCACGTGTCCCGGCCGCTGCGTGTGCTACTGTACCTTCAGCTCGGCCTCCGTAAATCTCCACATCAAAGGTGCCGTTCAGAGGAGGCGTGGCTCTGTGGAGGCGAGCGATGGTGACGGTGGCTGCTCCCTCCCTGAACTCAGCCGTGTCCTCGCTGCTGTTGGACATCTTTCAAATAAGAAGTGTAAAGAAGAGTGAAAAAACATTATTTTTACCATCTTTCAAATGCACAACATTGTTCTCACAATCCACCATTCAACACGACTTCACACTGAGTCTGGACTGAAACAGGTATTTTCTCTGTTTGAGGAATCAACATGTGGAAGTCTTTAACCACAGAGATCAACGTGAACGAATCAGATCATTCTGAACTGAAGGTGAAACAAGAGGCTTCAGTGGTCATGACTGATCTGGTCATAATAATATAAACCAAAAAGAAAAACATTAAAAGCATGAATGTAAAATGAGATGGAATAATAATAAAACAATAACAGAAATAATAAATAAAAATAACCAATTAAAAATAAGTTTTTAACTTTTTTATTTTATTGAACCAGTTTCTGTTTTGTACATTTTTAAAATGTATTTAGTAGTTGAGTTTTGTGTATTTGTATAAAGGCTTCTCTATGACTGAGCTGTGTAAACCAGCTTAGGAGATAAAAGCTGTGGTATGTGGTGGTGGTCCAAACTTACTGCCCCTATAATTATAAAAACTAAATAAATAAATAAACTTCCAGAAACATAAATAAATACATCAATAATGTAACTTTAAAATCATTATAAACGCTGCAGAATGAGGTGATGATGGATCAATGTGCAGTTATCAGATTTAATGACACTGATGCTACAACAGGTGCTCCACCTGTCAGTCACGGTCTGTGACAGCTCTCCGTCACTGTTTCCTCCATCATCTGTTAGTCAAATGAAACCTGTTGAGCACCTGGAGACATGAGAGCCAGCTACAGGATCACTGTGGCGCCGCTCTGTACTGAGGCTTATTATCACCTGGCTGTGGCCCACTGAACATTTCCTCTGTTTTTATGAGTCAAGCTGCTGAAGCAACAGCAGACCTTTAACCCTCACATCTGGTTTTCCTTGTGGAAATGTCTCTGCTGTTTCAAAGAAGCCTCATCAGGATAAATCCTGTAACTTAGTGTACCGTGTGCTTGTATTGGATTTTATTGGGACTATCCATATTCTGGGCAGCACGCTGACTCAGAGGTTATTACTGCTGCAGGGTTGATTTATGGCCCCAGTTCTTTCTTTATGTGGATTTTATTTCCCAAGACACATAAGCCAGGCAGATTAGAGACTCCACACTGTTGCTCCAACAGACTCTGACGGAACGGAAGTCACTGGGAAACACAGGTCTTGTGTAATATAAATAATATTTTCAAGAGTTTAGGATCTCAACAGCTGAGTTGACCAACACTACGTCTGCGTTGTCCTGCGGTCTACTGTAGGAATATGGAGGGGGTGTCCTTGTCTTTAACATGACACTGTTACACTACCTAAACGTCAAATCATCAGTTACCTGCAGGAAGCCAACTCCTAGCAGTGGGAAGCCAAAGGCACAATCCACCGGTGTGGCCTTAATCTCGTAGCTCATGTGCGAAGCCGCTGACGTGTCTTTGTTGACGGAGATCACCTCAAAGGAACGGCCTGAGCTCTCAAAGGGTGGGGGCCTCCTCCTGTGGGGAACAGCTGAGAGAAACAACACAGATCAATGAAATAAACTGTTGGAATGTGCTCAGCCGTAGTTTTTACATATCAATATGAAATAATAGAAATGTGTTGCATTATCAAACAAAAACTGTCATTTTCTGTTGCTTTTTTTTTGGGCTGTTTTTCCAGATTCAATAACAGAACGACGTCTGATTGCGATGAATACGTCTACATGCATGTGACACTGGAACAATCAAACAAAGCCAAGTATGAAAAGACGGATTATTTTGTTACGTTAATCTTGGCAAATCAAAAAACCAAACCATGAAGCTGTGTACCATTTTCATCACTGGTGGTCGGTCTCTTTCCAATGTGAACAGCGTCCACGTAGAAATCGGCACCGGTGGCGTCTTTGTAGAGGTAAAACTCCAGCAGCTCGTATCCGCTCCCGACGTACTCGGCCTGCAGAGAGCTCTGCAGGTTCACGCACTTGTAGCTCCATCTGTGGAGAAACAATCACACGTACATGCTGCAGTTTAGCTGAAGAATAGAGGAAGAATGAGTAACCAGTGTTTATACTGTATCTGACACATCAGACTCTTTATGGTCTCTACTGACTCTGGGCCCTTTGTGAAGAGAGTGTTGATCTTTGCCGTCTCTGTCTTGGTTTCGCCTTCGCTGTTGCGGTAAGTGAACTTCATTCCAACTTCATCCTTCAACATTCCCTTGTATGCGAAGCAAAGCTGGAAGGAAAGGTAAATATTGAATCAACAGTTCAATCACAGTAGAAGCAAAGATTTAATTCCAGACCAGGTCCAAACTACCAAGGTTCAACAGAAGAGGATCAGCGCCAGACGGGAAAAAACATTTTAAAGTCCGAATTCTTAAAAAAATAAATTGACATGTGGCCCTGATCCTCTTGCATATGGTTAAGCTCACATGTCCATTATGTTTTTAACTGCATTCACTTATGATATAAATTCTTTGACAATCTAACCAGATGTACAAAATCAATAAATAACACAGTGGTTGTTTCACCATGGAGTGTTGGTCCAGTGACACTGGTCCGTAAACGTCCCCGGACTCTGTCCTGTAGCTTTCCTTGAAAAGAACCTGAGCGTTCTTCAGAGACCACAGGCCACAGAAACCAGAGTGTTTCACACGAGTCCCTTCCTCAGGAGTCGCACCAGCAAACTGGTGAGAACACAATGAGAATCTAAAATCAGATACTCTCCAAAGCTTTACACCAACGTCTGGTAAGTGCGTGTTTTTTTTTTTTTTTGTTGCACTGACCTGAGAGTTGTCATCTTCAAAATCTTTGAAGTATTTCACAGTGGTGCCTTCAGTGGTCAGGATCTCACCTGGACACCAGGCTTTCATCATGTCCTCCAGAGCCGACTGCACCTGTTCACAGTCACACACGCTGCACGTTAGTATTTTTTCTGCAGCTTCATTCAGTGAAAAAATGCAACATGAAAATCAATTTAAAGACATTATTCCAAGATCTCTGTTTACAACCTGCAGGATTAGTTTTGACTGATTTGGGGGATTCTGAATTTCAGGTTAAAAACTTTCCTCAAACATCAGTAAATAAAAACTTTTAAACATGATCCCAACCACACTGAGATTAAGGTGAATTACAGATGTGTGAACACAAAGAGAGACAGTTTAAGTCTCAGACCTCAGCCTCAGTTGCGTTGTAGGCGATGGGCTTTGTGGGGACGCCCCCCCAGAGCAGAGTGAAAGTCTCCATGCTGCTCCTCCCCTTGGTGACCTCCACGACAGTGATGTTGGTGTCAGAGCCAAAAACCTCATAGTGAAGAGGTTCAAAGTCACCTGAAGTCAAAAAAGACAGATTTAATCAATTAGCTATTTGTTGCACTTTTGCTGCTGAAACTAAATATAACAGTGATGCTCTTTAGAAGTCTGTTATGTCAATTTAAAACAAATCTTTGTACAATACTCAGCACAAAACAAATATTATACACTTTTGTTTATCAAGGTACGAATCTATTGAACATCATTTGAATCTGTAGTTGATACTGAATACTGTCTGTCTCTTCTTACCTCTGTCAGAGTTGAATGTGACTGTGTAGTGAGATCCTTGGCTGTCATCCTGTTTGGTGACCTGAACTGTGTCGGGTTTGATGGACCAAAGGTCGTTCAAGACAACCTCCATCATCTCTGCTGAGGCGCTGACTGGGATTGGTCCTGGAGAAGACAAACACAAAGCTCACTGTAGTTTTATTAGATCAGAGCAGAAGTCTAAGGGTTTTCCTTTTGGTCATTCCACATTACCAGTCTTTGCGTCCCCGTAGCCAAGGCTGAAGAAGGTGTTCCCACAAACATGGCTGGCACAGCTGCTGCTGACGCTCACCTTCTGGACCTCTTTGAATCCGGCAGCATTGGTGGGCCACGAGTCAAAGGTAACCACCTGAGTGACAGTGAAAAGGAGGCAACAAAGATGAGTCATAAAATTTAATTCTTTAGAATAGGAAGAGAATTTACATTTTTATGAATTTGCTTTTTTTTGTACCCAACTTCCCTCAGCGTGCTACATTTACTTAATTTAGTGATCTCCTTCATTCTCTGATGTGACATTTACACATACATTTGTGAACAACAGTGCTAGCAATAATGCTAACACTGCAACAGCAAGAGAAGGAGATCTTTTCAACAAGACAGCTGCATTGTTTGATTAAAATAAGTCCTAAAATCGTTGGCATCGCTTGTCTTATTTAAGTGGAAAACTGCCAGAAAGGAGAGAAAAGTCCTTATTAGAGGACCGGCACAAACCAGCTAATGCTAAATTGTCATTAGCTGCCTTCAACAGTGTTGAAATGTTTTAAGGTAGATTTTACAAATTCATCCCAGATACAGTTAAGAGGTTTAAAATACAGTTAATTCTGCCTTCACAGATTCATGCTGATACATTTTTTTGTTAGTAAAGTTGGAGCCAGGAGACCGAACTAGCTTAGCTACTAGCTTAAACGGGAGCTAGCCTGGCTCTGTCCAAACGTCCCAAACTCTACCTACCAGCACCTCTAAAGATCACTAGTTAACACACTGTATTTAATCCACACAAAAGGAGCAGTGTCTTTCTTGGTCAGAGCCAGGCTAGCTGTTTCCCCCTGTTTCCAGTCTTTACGCTAGGCTAAGCTAATGATCTTCTTGCTAACCGTTGTAGCTTAACATTTAGCATACAGATAAGAGAGTGAGAGGTATAAAAACATTGACGTATTTGCTAATTTTATTTTTTTTATTTTTTTTTAACAGAATAAAGAAACAGGTTAGCATCAGGTGAGCCACCACATACCTGTTCCTCATCGAACACGTCGTATTCAGCCACGATTCTCTGGACCTCGTTGACAGCATCTTTCGTCTGGTCCTCCGTGAAGGAACTCTCCTCTCGGAACAAGCCGAGGTTGAGACTCGACTGACCGCCATATTCTTGTTGAAGTATTTCCATGTAGTAGCTACAGAAGATTTCGATTTTTAGTTATTTTCGATAATATGGTCACAGCTGTTGTTTTGAAAAGTGCTACATAAATTAAGTTTTATTATTATTGTTGTTATTATTATTATTATTATTAGTTAAATAAAATAAATAGAACTGTACTCCCATACTTACGGTTTTCCTTTCTCTAGCGTCATCACCTCAGACTTTTGTGACTCCAGTTTGAAGAAGTCTGAGACATAATTTGGCTGATAAGCAACTTTAACCTGAATAAATAATGATAATGATATTCTGTCAATGTAACAAAATGAATACATAAATAAATAATATAGTGTAGAATAATATAATAGCGTGGTGGTGTTATGGCAGAATAGTAACTTTAATAATAATATGTGTTATTGTGAACTACACCGTCATGTCATACCTTGTCCTCTGGGCGGCTGGAGTTGCTCAGGTACAGCTCACACCTGTCGTCACAGTGCAGGTAGATGGTGTAGTTGCCGCTGGCCGGAGGGACGAAGAAGCCTCTGGATCGCGAGGTGAAAAGATCCAGTGAGTAATTGAACCTGTGCGGCATGGAGTCGATCCAGTGCCACCAGTATCCCGTCGTGTTGTCGTCGTAGTTCCAGATGTCGGTCAGGTAACGGGGTCGCGTGTTGTTCCACACCTCCATCTTCAAGCCGCGCCCACCTGGACGTACGTGTGAGAAGAATTCAAATGATTGGTGGTGTATCTACATTAGATCGTTAATCAATATGTCAGCCAACAGAAAATTAAATGGCAACTATTGGAGTCAAATAAACACACGAGGGGAGAACAGACACAGCCGCCATATTGTTTTTGGGTTGTCCGTCTCCTTCTCGTGGACGGGATATCTCAGCAACATCTGGACAGAACTTCTTCAAATTTGGTAAAAACGTTCATCTGGACTCAAGCTCACAAAACACCTGTTAGCCAGTACTCAAGACACACAGCAATAATGAGAACATTTCACACAAATGCTTCATATTCTCTGTGACTCTGGATAAACAGGGATGTGGCCTGGACTAGTCTGAGTGGAGGAGGTGATTCTAGTTTCAAAATCTTTGGCTTTAAAAAAGAAATCAAAATAAATCTGAATTTTATTTAAATCATTTTCTGCTAAAGGAAGAAATCCTGATACAAAAGGTTGTAGAAGTTAAAAACCTGCGGCCGTATCTGCCGCTGACGTCGGCTCCCGTGAGAAGTTATTAACATGACACGAGGTGAAAAAGGTGTTTGTGTTACAGTCTGATAACAGATGATCTGATTACTGTTCAAAGCACATCAAAGTGTCCTCACACTTGATGGACCGTGACAAGTGATGGGATGATGATCACCATCTTCTAGACGACAGGTTTGTTGACAGATACTTGAAATTCTTCCAGTGATCGAGCGACTGATGCCGGTGCGTTGTTCAGATGTTGACACAGCACGACACGAAGCAGCAGGATGGATGGAGACGAGTGTCGGTTGCTTCATATTGGAAGATAAAGCGACAGAGGCGGCGGCGCGTCCTCACCTGGGTAGACTCCTGAGTCGTTGCTGATGAGGCGCTCAGGGGTCCTGCACGTGATTCTGACGTCAGACACACTCTGGATTTCACACGGCAGACCTGAGGAGAAACGTCAGGGACTGAGAGCTCGCAGCAACTTTCCACTTCCACACAAAACAAAGAAGAACACCGGCTTCACAGGATGAAGTAAAATACAAAGTGAAGTGTGTTATCTTCCCTCCTCAGCTGAAACATAATGTTTGTGAGATCATGGGTTCAGCTGTAAATACAAGTCTCTTTCTTTTCTTCAGTTGCACAGTAAAGAGCTGCTATTCCTCCTTTCTTTACCAACTCCTGCACAGCGCTGGAAAGTGCGTTTACTCAAGAACAATAGAATAAAACTTTACTGACATTTCTCTACTTTATACTTTTACTCCTCTCCATTCAGGGAAATATTGTCCTTCACCACAGTAATCTGACAGCTGCAGTTACTCTGGTTGATTATTACACGTGACTTTATGAAACATTTATTATAAAGTCAGCAGCACTTTGAGAAAATGGCACTTAAACATACATCAGCCATTACACACTGATATAGTGTATAACAATGACATTTCTCTGCATAATAAACACTTATGGTTTTGATATGTTCTGTACACGTTTGTACTGTTTGGTAAGATTTAGATTACAGGACTTTTACTGATGATAAAGTCATTTCACAGAGTGTCGTTGCTTCTTTTACTGAAGTGAAGGATCCAAACTTTCGATTCCTTTCACTCAACTTTTGTCACATATTTGTGACATTTTGTTTCTGGATGCTCTTTGTAAAAGCTGTTTCCTGTGGTGTACACAGTTTATGTACCTTTCACTTCAGTGCTGTATTTTATCTATAGTAGATGCTCGTAAGGTTTATACACTATTCTGTTTTAAAGGCTGTTGTGACGCTTCAGTTGCAGGAGCATGAAATCAATAAAGATTATCTTTGTTTTACAGATTGAAAAATATCCAGAGAGGTCTCTGAGACTGTGCGAGCTCTGTGATCCGGGAAAGTTAAAAAGACCGTCTCATTTTCTGCCGTATTTCAAATGTTCAAGAGGTAAGTGAAAAACGTTGAATGATCTGTGTCCAGACGGTGACGGCTGTTTTTAAGTTTTCTACCTGTCAAGCTGGAGAAAAGGTCGACAACTAATTAGTCTTTACTGTGCTTTGATTTCTCGGGTCGGTTACAGTTACACACACTATCAGTCATATAGGAATTTTATTGTAGTGATTCTTGTGTGTCATGTTGAAATGGACGCTCTTTATTCTGTATCTGGTTTATTTTCATTAATTTCTTCTGAGCTCTTGAATTTGCTCAAATGCCAAATATTAAGTTTTGTGGTTCTCGTCATTTGACAATCTGTTCTTCTCTCTTTGTTCTGTCACTTTGCTGCTGTGACGCCAGTGTGGGACTAATAAAAGAATATCTTATCTTATTATGATTGAGGAAAAATGACTTGTTGTCAATCGTGACACGTGAACAGCAGCTTCAGTGACTCATGAAGTCTCGAGACAGACAGAGCAGTGGAGGGTTTGTCGTGGTCGGCTGCGTCTCTAAGCTGTGTGAGATTCTTCCTTCCACTCAGAGACAACTCGACACTTTCCTTTTGTTGTGAAGAATGTGCAGCTTGTGTTGAGCTGAAAAGGATTATCACCATCGCATGACTTCAGTCCCGCGACAACCTGTGAAGGTTTGTTTAGTGGAGATCTGTTTGTGCTGAACACTTTGTTCTGTCACACAACCACATCGTGAAGTTGTCACGGTAACAGACTCTGGCTACAGGTGGGGAGTTTCCACCTTGGTGGAGACGGTTACCTCCGACCAGGACACGTGCCGGGCGATCGGTTTGGTCGAAGAAGCGGCCGTGGACGGTCAGCAGGGTCCCGCCCACCACGCTGCCATTGGATGGAGAGACTCCTGTCACCTCTGACCAAGAAGAGCAACAAATAAACACACACAGAAACACAGCAGATACTTAATGTGAATAAATGTTGCTGTCCCCATACTCACATGTAATATATGTACATATATAAAAAACACATGTAAAAATTAAATATAAAATCTATTAGAAATTGGAAAATTAGAATATAATTTCATATATTGACATATATGTCTAGCTCATATTAATATGCATGTTTATTGTATATTACAATATATTGATGACATATGTTACATAAATATATATCCATCCCAGATGTAACATATGATAAATATAATATGTTGATATTATATGCAGTGGGCTCCACTTTCCCAGAAAGGGAAGAGACATGTTTAAAATGAATAAGAAAACCATAAATTAACATAGAATTATTATATGAATGTCGTTCTAATAAACGTTTACATATATATTAAATATATATCGTTAACATGGTCACAACATGTTTTACCATATCAAAATGAATCATATAGATATGTTTTAATATATATACATATACAGATTTTATTATGGGTATTTTATATATGTTATAAACTTACCTTCATATATCCAGAGGATGTATATATGTGATAATAATATATCCCCTATAGGTGACATGCATGGTTTTTCTGTATGGGTCTGACATACCTGCAAAAGTCTGGAACATGGAGAGTTTGCCCAGAGCTGAAACCCTGTACAGATTCTTCTCTGGTAAACTCCTGCAGATCATAAAGAAAAAATAATTGCACATTAACATTGTTTTAAGTTTGAATATACACAGTGCTGATCATTTTCTGAATGTATGGAAATCTTAAAGTGATGTTTCACCTTCCAAATTCACTGTCCAGAATGTAAGTGAGGTTGTGATGCCCTGAAGGTCACATGACATCATCATTAAAGGACAGTTTCTAAATGAATTATTATTTTTTAATGTATATTAAAGAGCATTTCTAACCATCTTACCGACATATGTCCCTGTCATCTTGCAGCTCATTTCTCCCCAATGAGAAGTTTCTGAAGTCAGTCGTAGGTTATATCTTCAGAAACATTAGAAACACGTTTAATATAAAATAACCAGCTCCCTTGAACTTAATGTTTTCAGAAGCTGCTATGCAACATATCTGAACTTGATATTTCTGTTGTTTTCTATGCAAATTAACATCTTAAAAGAATTATATTTAATTATAGGATATAAAGGGAATTATAGGATGTAGAATTATAACTTCATTTCTGAATGCACAGTCCACATCTGGACAAACTACTTACAGTTCATCTGACTCTGGTTTGAGCAGCTGGCAGGGCATCCCTCCCATGTAGGATCTGGTACAAACAATTAAGTTGAGTTTTAATCTGCAGTTAAATGTCTAAATGAAATTCTTTATTATAAAGCCATTAAATAAACCTTCTTTACCCGTAACTTTAAATCTTAAACCCACATTTTATTAAAGCGAGTGAATAAATGTCAGTGGGTTGAGAAAGTTTCTATTGTTTCCAGTGCAAAAAGAATCATATTTGATTATGGGATATTACAGGACTTCCTTCAGTTCGTCAGGTCGTTTTAAAGAACGATACTTTAATGTTTTGGTGACGTCAGAATTTGAAGATTTTGAAAGTAAAGGTGAGTTTTTACCTCAGGAATCTGACGTTGAGGCCGTTGGAGCTGACGGCCGTGTTGCTGCCGTACACGTCAGTGTAGATGCGTCCGTGCACCGTCACCAACGAGCCTGCAGAGAGTTTGAAGAAGGTTTAAATTGAAGTTAAACTGGACTCAGTGGAATCTGCACATATACAGAAGTCAAGAGTGGACCTGGGGGGCCGCTGGCTGGACTCAGGGATTTGATAGTGGGGGTGCGATACCAGACAGTCTGAGGAGAGGTAAAGTACAGATGGAAAAAGAGGATCAATCACTGATCAATCAGTTGACTCGTGAACCAAAGTGTCGCATGAAGTGCAAACGTACATAGAAGCTGCAGTGGTATGACTTGTACACGCCGTAGCAGATGTTGCTGTCAGGAACGGGAACACCGTCCACACTCACACGGACCACATAGTGACCGCTCGGCATCGGCCTGCGGCGGACAAACATAATCAATGTGGTGACACGTGCTGGTGGGGCGGAGTGGATGCTCTTTAAAGGAGCCTGGAGGATACCTGGTGTAACACAGGATCTGGCTTCCGTGTGTCGAGTCTCTCTCCACGTCACAGGGGACGGACAGAGTGTCCGACACCAGAGTCACTCGGTTCCCAAACGTGTCGTCTGTCGGGTTCAGCTGGAACTGACGCTCCTGGGCAAAACCTGGAAACACAAACACCCCATAATAATCCCCTGTAGAACTATAAAGGCCAAAGAGTCAAAGAGAGACCTGTGTAAATCACAGGTGTGTATCACTGTGTAAACGTGAAAACTAACCTTTACTGACGCGGATGAGTTGAAATGTGTTGATCTAAGTCTTAGCTTCATAAAAACAGCACAATATATGAATCAAATAGTAGATGAATGTAGAATAAAAGCCTAAAATGACCCTGATGTTAGCGGCCTGCTTATTGGCCTTCTAGCTCCAGATGTGAGTCACATGATCTCACAAGAATATGAACCTTTGATTGGACAGCGACAGACTCTAACAACATTTAAACCACATGTGTTATCACCAAGATATTGATAGAAACAAATAATCCGCACGTGCAGCTACTGAAACATATTGAATTGTTTTATGCGTCATAATCTGTTTAAATTGATTTAATAAATAACATTTACAGTTATTTTTAAATATGAGTTTTAAGCTTCATAACTTTGGATCAAACGACCATCAGCAGCTTTTCTCACCGTTTCCTGAGATGGTGAGTCGAGTTGCGCCATTGATGCTTCCTCGATGTGGAGACACGTAGTTAATGCGCTGAGCGGCTGCAATATAGAAACAACACATTATACATATATTATAATATGTAATATATATATTGGTTTCCCCTCTGAGCAGCTGGCTGCTGATTGGTCAGGAAACTAGACGTGAAGAAAGCAGGTTAAAAGCCAACAGAGATTATGAATGAAACGTGTTTCTGACAGAGACTCACTGCAGCAGCAGCAGCAGCAGAGCGCGAGGAGAAGAGCCGCCGGCTTCAGCGCGGGCTCCATCCCGGAGATTTCCCAGAGTCCCTGCTGCCTCACCTGCGGTCTGCGTCCAGGTGCAGCTGAGGGGGAACCAGGTGACACCAAACAGGCAACTTTAAACAAAACGATGTTTCTGAAGGACTTTACATGAAACCACGTGTGTGATGGAAAAATTAAACATTAAAAGAAAAGGAAAATGTCTGAAAATTTAAATACAGTGAGGAATTATTAGATTAATAAAGTAGGTTAGACACAACTCCCTACGTCACAGCCATGTTGTTATTGAATGCAGAACAATCAATAGGAGTCACCAGAAATATTGATTCATATTGTGATTTTAAAATGAATAAAAACTCACCTGTCAGTTAGAAAACGTCTTTACCTGCTGGATGGATGAGGTGTTCAGAGAGAGAGAGAGAGAGAGAGAGATAGAGGTAGAGAGACACTGTCGGTTCAAAGAAAGGCGCACTAACTCTTTATAAAGCAGCTGAGCTCCGCCTCTCACCTGGAAGTGGGAGGAGCCTGTCGACATCAAACCTCAGCCTGAGTCTGTTGATGAAATCAAACCATCCGGAGTCAGACTGGGGGAGAGGGAGAGGGCGGAGTGATGGCAGAGAAGGAGAAGAAGAAGAAGAAGAAGAAGAAGAAGAGGAAGAGGAAGAACTATAAAAAGCCTGACAGTGAATTTGTGGAGTGGCTGAAAATAAAACATTAGAACATTAGAACAGATCAGTTACTGGAAAGCAAATATGAGCTGGGCCTTTATTAAAAAGTTGTTTGGCTCAACATGAAACCTGAACGTCAAGATGAAATCCAACCCTGAATAAATATTAGTCCTTCCTTTGTGAAGCCGCTTAGTGATTATTTATTTTTCCCAGCCACAGTGTATATCACATTCCATTATAAAGCCAAAATCACATTCCATTATAAAGCCAATTGTGCCTGATATTTAATCCCACACCTGCACAGTGGAAGTGTCGTGGAGACCGGAGCATCTTGTCACACTGATCATATCTCCAGAACCAGACACTCACCCCATGTTCCTCCTCCCTAAAAGTAAAACATCTAAACTGAACTATTCATGTAATAAAACTTGGACACGACGTTCATTTACATTATTTTTGTACATGATAGAGGAGAGAAAAGCTAGCTTGCGGTATAGCTAGCAGTAGCACACCTGTCACGCTGGGTTGTCTCAGTACTTTTTGTTGCTGTTGGCTCCATAGCCACGCCCTCTTCACGGCCACACCCTCTTCACGACCACGCCCCCTTCACGGCCACGCCCGCTTCACGACCACGTTACGCCCCTTCGCCTGATATTATTGGCTATAATTGGTGGAGGCGTGGTGACGTAAGGACACATAATATTTTCTTTTAAAAGAAGAGACTGATTTTTGAAATACGAATACAAGAGAAATAGATTTTTGGTTGTGGGCAGTTTTGTTTTTTCCAAACTTAATAAGTAGTGATGGTACGTATAGTGATCAACAGAGATGATTGGCTACAGACGTGATCCACACAAGAAAAAGAAAACCCACAAATCAGCAACTGCAGTATTTATGTGTATTTATTTAACATCTGTACACTGTAAAAGAAAATTCAAATTTTATGGAAAATAACTAAGTTTTCTAACAGTAATTTTCTGTTTTTTTTAATTGTGTACAAGAGTCTGTAAAATGACATTAATTATCTGTAATTAAAATGTAGCTTGTTATTATAAAGGTTAATGTCCATATGAACAATTTAAAGATTTTCTCTGTAATTTCAGGGTGAATCTGATTAGTTTTACATTTATGTGACTTCTACATTCAAACTTTGTAATTCCTGAACTTTTTTTCATCACATCAAACATTCAAACTTCAGATTGATTCACCTCTTTATGATGCAAACTTGTCTTGTGACAGTGAAGTTCACCTGTACCTTCATTCACAACTGTATTTTATGTTTAGCAATGATGGAGGCCCTGCACCACCTCCACCTGCAGTGTCCACACATGAAGATCTTCTCTTCCCAAACACAGACACAGTGTCTTATATGATGATATAGTATTTTTTAATGTAACTCTTGTGGCCATAACATTGTTCAGTCTGATCAGCTGTGCTCTTCCTTGTTCCCTACACCCTCACTGTCGTATTACACTCTCTGCCCCATGTCAGACATACAGTCACATGACTTCTGGACTCCACTGTAGCTGTAACACATTGAAGGAGGATTTTTCTTCATCTGCTCCGTTGCACCGTCACTTCTGGTAAAGATTCACTGACCTTTGTGGTATGTTGTGATTTGACTTATTAATTCACTGTATAGTTGGGATTCTGACATATATTGTCATATGTTGTCAGAACTATATGGAGAATACTGTGGAAAACAAGATCAAACTGAAGCTAAAAACAACAGACCACCCCCCCTCAGCTCCACAGCCCCCCCTCTTTCAGAGGTGACATCATCACCTCCTCATTATAGGAACCTTAACAGGCAAGATAGACCAATGGAGAAATGCCAGTTTTAGTTCTTCAGATCATCCCGGGGCTCTGAAGAACTATTTGTGAATAATTGGTTGATATTGTAAATTTACATCTGAATATATTAAATAAAAGTGTTATAAAGTCAATAGTGGTGTGTTTGTTATTTGTAATTAAGTTTCCAACCCCACTTTAGTTGAAAGACTACATACAGAGACTTAACAGTCTAATTAGCATTTCTTCAGTTTATTATATTTTATGAGAAATGTAAGAAAATTGATCTGAATCTGAATCAGTAAATATTGTATTTAGATTGAGCTTCTACAGGTTTTAACATTACTTTACACTTAAAGATTCAATGTTGACACAAATACTGCAAGTTGAAGTTTGAGATGATTTTAATCTGTTTTACACAGTATTTTTTACTTTGTCTTCCAAAACAAAAGGTTTACTTTACAATATTAAGCTTGTGTTAATATTTCATTGATTGACACTTAATTTTATTATTAGGAAAAAGTTTCTCTGCAGAAACTTTAGTGGATTCACTTTATTGAAGGTGTTTGATCATAATAATTTAGGAAAAATCTGTAAAATAACAGTTTTTCTCTGTAGAAATATTAATAAAACTTTCCGTAAATGTATTATTTTTACACTTTATTTGAATTAGGATATTTTACTTTAATTTTACCATTTTTGTTTGGCAGCTGTTGCTGCCAGTCATTTGACCGTTTTTTTATGATTTTTTTTACCAGTGTATTATATTATCAGATGTGATTTCAGATGTGTTTTCCCTCAGACACAGAACTATGAGGAGCTGTGATATAAAAATCTGTCCTCACATGCACACTCCTTATCTGGTCCTGTCTGGTACAAACTAAGGAGTCCTTGTCCTTGAACACGCAGCTGCTTCTTTTTGACGTGAAGACTGTGAAGACGTCCTCAGAATTGTTCACACACACTTCCTGAACCTGCCTCCTTCTTCCCTCTTCCTAAAGTTCATGTACTTTCTTTGTTCGACATCAGTCTGCACTGACACTCTGCTGTGACTGTGCACTGATCCTTTGCAGAGCTCTTATTAAAATATACAAAGACAAACTTGGTCATTTTGTCAACTTTTCATTTTCACATTTCCATCACAAGCCTCAGAAACAAAGTGCTGTCAGGTCAGTGAACTGAGTTAGGACACTCTGCAGTGTGGGGATGTTTACAGCCGTGTTCATGTCATTACAACACAACATTTAGCAACAAGCAGCGAACACACCAAATCAAAGATGAGGCGTGTTTGACCTCCTGTACCACAGCAGGCGTCAGTGTATTATTAGTCCACAGTGAAGACATGAACAGACAGAGATCAGACTGTTACTGTAACCTCAGTGTTAATCATCACAGTGAGTCACACATTTCATACAACGCCACAGGGCACCAGGAGGAGTGACATCATTTCCTGTCTAACGACAAAAATATCCAGAGATTTATTTCTAGAGACTGCTGTGATTTGAGCTGCTGTATGGAGAGTCAGAGGTGCCACCCCAACTGGATTTTGAGGGTTATAATTTGGGTGTTGTGTTGGTGATTTAAGTTCCTGTTCACCTGTGTGGGGAAGTAAAGGGGGGGTCGTTATATTTTTTGTTCGTTGTGGTTATTTTGTTTGTTGTTAAGTTTGCACATGGTATAATAAGTTCATCTTTAGTCAATAAAGGTTTTTTGTTTTGCACGTATTTTGGACTGACAGCGAATCCTTTTCTTTGGTAGCGTGTCATACAATTGAAACCAGGCCCGACCTCAGACCAACCTCAGGCCGACCTCAGGCCGACCTCAGGCCCGACCTCAGGCCTGACCTCAGGCCCGACCTCAGACCAACCTCAGGCCCGACCTCAGGCCCGACCTCAGGCCCGACCTCAGGCCGACCTCAGGCCGACCTCAGGCTGACCTCAGGCTGACCTCAGGCCCGACCTCAGACCAACCTCAGGCCCGACCTCAGGCCCGACCTCAGGCCCGACCTCAGGCCCGACCTCAGGCTGACCTCAGGTTGACCTCAGGCTGACCTCAGGCTGACCTCAGGCCCGACCTCAGACCAACCTCAGGCCCGACCTCAGACCAACCTCAGACCCGACCTCAGGCCCGACCTCAGGCCCGACCTCAGGCCCGACCTCAGGCCCGACCTCAGACCAACCTCAGGCCGACCTCAGGCCGACCTCAGACCGACCTCAGGCCCGACCTCAGGCTGACCTCAGGCTGACCTCAGGCTGACCTCAGCTTCTCCGTCTTCCTGAAGTCGCTACACAAACATTAAACTTCGACACAATGTTAATAAAAGGGATGAAGTCTAAGTCTTTAACCGCTCTTGCAGCTGTGTGAGATTTTAGATCAACGAACACAGCTCTCTGTTCTTTCTTCGCTGTGTTAAATCTGACTGATTGAGAGGTTTATGTGAGACTTCATCAGTTATGAAGGAGGAAGACAAAGAAGTCTTTTTTTTTAAATGCAGTAAATTTACCAAACCACCTTTGCCTTCTGAGCTCGTGAATAAAAACGCATTTTTCTTTTCAAGGCTGGAAACAAAGAAACAGTACAAAGGTTAAATCCATTTCAGCTGCCACTATAGTAGGTTTTTCTCACTGCAGATATTTTGACATGTCATAGTAGAAAAAACAGGTAATAATCTATATGGAATAATAAAGAAATAATTTGATCTTCTTATAAACCAGGTCAGGTTTCGCCTGTAGCTTTACAGCGTCAGCGTTTACAACCCATTCACTCACATCACGTCACAGCAGGTTCTTTCAGGAGCCTCTGGGCAGGAGAAGTTCATCACCCGGGGTCAGCCCTATGTTCCCACATTTCTAAGAATGTTTTGAAAATTAGGCCCTATTTTCCCACAGTCTTATATGTTCCCATAAGCCCATGTCCACACTAACCCGGGTAATATTTATCCGGTTAGCCCTTCCGTCCACATTAGAACGGTGAATTCTGAAACTGAAAACGATGCTTAACAAAAACGATCGCTGAGGTGGATAAATGTGAAGACGCCGTGGAACGTGGATGAAAAGCGTTCTGAAAGGGTATAACAGGGGAATATCGGGCTGTGGGAACATAGACACGCTCCCCATCACCCAAAGAAACGCTTTGTTTTCTTACGTAACATCCAGGAGAACACCAGCAGAGCTCAACAAGCCTTTACAGTAACAGGGTAAATGTAGTTCTGTCAATCTGTCCTTTAAGACGAGATGACGAGAGAGAAAGCAGCTGATTTAGTTTTTAAAGTTTTTTATTCTTCATATTAAAGAAAACTAAACAACCAACATTAAAAAAAAACTAGAGTCACCTCCTCGTGGTCGTATCCCTCCGCCACTCAGACTAGTTCCAGGCCACATCCTGTTTAACCAGAGTCATGTGAAATATGAAGCATGTGTGACACTGAGTGATGGCTAAAGAATGTTTTCTGAGGTCACCGTGACTTTGACCTTTGACCCCCAAAATATAATCAGTTCACCGTTGAGTCCTAGTGAAAGTTTCTGCCAAATTTGAAGAATTCATTACAATATATATTGTGTCCACGAGACAGAGACAGAGACAGAGACAGAGACAGATGGACATACGTATGTACAGACCATCTGAAAACAAAATGGCTGCTTCTCTGACTGACGCTGGCGTGGAGAAATTAAAACTTTTTGTTCACAAAATAAGAAATTAAAATCGAAATCAATAATGCAATAAGGACAAACTGTACTGAGGGATCAGGAGCAGAGCAGCTACAAGCTGCAAGAGGCAAGAGGCATGAGGCATGAGGCAAGAGGCAAGAGGCATGAGGCAAGCTGCAAGAGGCATGAGGCAAGAGGCAAGAGGCATGAGGCAAGAGGCATGAGGCAAGAGGCAAGAGGCAAGAGGCATGAGGCAAGAGGCAAGAGGCATGAGGCAAGAGGCATGAGGCAAGAGGCAAGAGGCATGAGGCAAGAGGCAAGAGGCAAGAGGCATGAGGCAAGCTACAAATGATCAAGTCCTGCAGTTTGACCACAAAAGACGAAACACATCATCAAACAACATGAGCAACTATCACAGAACAGACTGAGACAGACAAAGACACAGACAGAGAGAGAGACAGACACAGACAGACAGACAGACAGACAGAGGGACAGACAGAGAGACAGACAGACACAGACAGAGGGACAGAGACAGACAGAGGGACAGACAGACAGAGGGACAGACAGACAGACAGACAGACAGACAGACAGAGGGACAGACAGACAAAGAGACAGACGGAGGGACAGACAGACAGAGGGACAGACAGAGGGACAGACAGACAGTAACTCAGCACAGATCCTTTATTACGACACAGAGGGAATTAAGAGGTCAGTGTTGAGTATAAAACTGTCATGTGAAGATTGATGAACGTGAACTTTGTTTATTCAGGGTTTTTACTCGGAGGCTCTTTTCATTTCATCTATTGTGTTATTCCAAAGAACATTATTGTCATTATAGAATATTATATAATACTATTATGTTGTTTTTCAGCCTTTTAGTGGACAAACATGTCACATTGTACCACGACGTAAAACAAATCTAAACATTAAACTAATATCTATCAATAGCATAGTGCCAGTTGTAAAAACTTAAATCATTGACCAATAAAAACGATAATTATCATCATCAATAATGATTTGATTCCACTCTTGTGCCTGTAGGATAAAGATGAAGCTACAGTCAGCAGCTGGTTAGCTTAGCTTAGCATAAAGACTGGAAACAGCTAGCCTGGCTCCTGCTAAAGCTCAGCAACATAAGTGTCAAAACGAGTTGTGGTTTTATGCGCTGGACTATTTCTTGGTATCTCTGCTATATATTTATTTATTTCATTTCCTGTTCTCAGGTCTCACCTGTAAACGAGATCTCCATCTCAATGTGACTTCCTCATCAAAGGAAGTATAAATAAAACTTGCCGGCCGAGAGCAGCGAGTCGCATTTTAACACTGTCAGTTCAAACAAACAAGATCCGACATGTTAATGAGATTCAGAGGTGCTGGCTTCAATCTCTCATCTTAATCTCCTATTTAATCTATAACCTATAATACCTATAATAAATACATAAATACATATTTCCTTAAAATATTTTCTATTGTTAATATCAACAATTTCTTTATGTAGAAATACTAGATTTAAAAAAAAAGCAAAGGAATCAAACTGAACTTTGAAGTTTCAGGCTGGTTAGTTTTTACATTATTCTCCAGTAACAGCAGATACACACCTTCACCTGTCTTACTGCTTCATGCAGGAGGAGGAGGAGGAGGAGGAGGAGGAGGAGGAGTGATGAAGGTGGTGCGGCTGTGAGCGACAGAACTCTTGAGAAACTAAAGATCTACTGTTAAAACTTCAGTGTCGTAGAAATCTGCTTCATATCATCAAGTTACATGTTTTTTTATTGGCATTCAGTTCAGCACACATGCACACACACATGCACACGCACACACACACACACACACACACACACACACGTCGTCCAGCAGGTTCACACACTGACTTCATCAACTTCCTCTCAACTGTAACATAGAAAACACGTTCCTGCAGAGCTGCTGCTGCACTGTGAGGTCACAAGTGTCTGAACAGGAAACAACTTTTCCTTTAAGAAAATAAAAGCATGCACTGGATGATATTTGAAGGTGAAAACTAGAAACTGTTGATTGTCAGCTTTAGAATCACAAACACTTCCCCGCTCACGCGATATAGAAATATATTCTTAAAATCATTTTAACATATGCATGATTGATCAGTGAGACAGAACGCACTTATTAAGCTCATCTGAAGTAAAACACGTATAAATTCCAGTCTCACTAAAAACGAGCCATATTATTAACAAGGCCGGTTACTGTGATCATACAAACCCACTGTCTCTGAATCCTCATGCTCTGAAATTTAATGATTTACTATATTATTATAAAATAATGCAAATGATATTCGGAGGGAAATCAAAGCCTCTCTCAGACTGTGTCCAAAAGATTTTACAACACAGGAGACAAAAATGATCAGAGAGGAGTCTGTCAGTTCACTGTTCACCAAGATGACAGGGATTAAAGGGAGATGTGTTTCTATTGTTGTTAAATCATGGAACAATGCAAAGAGAACATTTGTAAAAAATGTGTAAATCGCTTAAAAAAGAAAAAAAGAAAAAAGACGATTAAAAAAGATAAAGACAATTTAAAAAAAGATTAAAAAATGAATAAAAAAGGGGATTAAAAGATTCTGTTTTTCTGTCTATACTGTTTATATTTACTGTATTATGTGAGATGAACAAAAAACTACGACTCAAAAAATGTCTTTGTCTTCTTATGCAACATCCTGAACAACGAAACAGCCTCAAACACGAGGAGACAAAGACATTTCTGTCATTCCAGCCACAGATTATTTTTAGCACAAATCATCATCGCACTCATTCGTGAGAAAAAAGCAGAAACGCAGATCCAGCTGCATTTTTCTGCTTGGAACACAGAAATCAATCAAACAGGTCAAACAGGTTTTCAGCAACAATTAAGAGACAAAAGGCAGCAGCGCCCCCCAGTGACCAAAATAGGCATGACTTTATTTTTTTTCTTCCAAAACTGCTGCATAACAAACTAAAATCAATATGAAAAACACACAATACAAAATAAAAATAACACTTCAGCAATGAGAACAATGAGAACAAACATCAGTCTGATGGTTTGAGTTGTGGATTTACAGTGAGTTAAAAAAATGCCTAAGACGTGACTCCTCTGGTTCACAAGGTGGCGTGTTGAGCTAGAAACGCTCTGATTCTCTGCAGCAGCTCTTTCTTCACACTGTCTGGGACGAGCGCTGCAGAGAGGAGACGCACATTAACAAAGAGAAGAAGAGCTGTCCGTGTGAAACAGAAAGGTCTGTGTGACACAATCAGAAACAACAGTCCTGGAATAAATAAAGTATCTGTGACATTCTGCTGGATTACACTGCCCTGTCCTGTTTCTAATATCGTTTCTATCATCACTGACTCTCAGTCTCAGGATTTACTGAGAACAACGTTACGTCTCATACAACAGCCTCCAGTGAATATGAACTTCATGATGTTTGTGCTGCTGTTGAACTGCATCACATTTCACTGATACAAACTGCAACACAAATACGGAGTCACAGGAGCGCCACAAGAAAGAATATATCTGTAAAAGAATAAAAAAATAAATGTGGAAATATAAAGAGAAATAAATAAAACAATTTAGAAAATGCTTGTACTATATAGCTTTTGCTTTTACCAAATGATTTTGCTTTTGCTAGAATGGTAAAAGCAAAAACAATAGGTAAAAGCATTTCTGTTGTTTTATTTATTCCTGTTAATATTTCCACACTTATTTTCTTATTCTTTTACAGACTTATTCTTTTTCATGGCGCTCCTATGACTCCATACACACACACTGTCAACACATATTACTAATAATACCACTAACACCTTTCAGTCTAAAGCATGACGGCGTAGAAACAGAGATTAGAATCTGGATTCAAACTTCTAAAGCAAAAACTGCACCTTTCATCTAAAGTCGTTTTTAGTGTAAAAACACAAGTTGCTGTTTATGGAGCTGAGCAGCATTTGTCTCAGTGGAGCTTTATTTTACAAGAGTTTAGGCTTTTGTTCTCTTTCACTTAGAAACACACCGACTGCTGTGCTGCACATTATTTCATTTTTTTTTTTTTATTATTGCAAATCAACTTTCAGAATGTATTCTGCTCTCCTGGTCAGGAACTTCCCTCCTGTGTAAACGGGTCCGCTGTTCGCTCATCTGCAGCCTCAAACTAAGAGGAGCAAATATTTCCAAAAGCTTTTTAATTGAACTCAAAACATGTCAGTGTTAAATGTTTTAACGTCTTAAAATCCAGATTTCTCTTTTCTTTTCCAGAAGCTCTAAGTGTTGAAGTCTGTCTCGTGTTATTAGATATAAACTGTATCAGCTTGTTCCAGCTCTTCCTTGAAGCTGCATCATGTGATGATGGCTGAGATATTCTCAGCAAAGACTCCATGTTTCTTACGGTTTCACAGCAAATATTTGTATGGAGACTATTTCATTCAGTAGGGTTCGTATTTGTTTTTCAATACTTCATTCTGTACATAATCAATGCTCATAATGTACACTCAGCGGGCACTTTATTAGGAACACCATACTAATGCTTTGCTCTGAGAACAGCCTCAGTTCTCCGTGGCACTGACTACACAGGTGATGATGATGATGATGATGATGATGATGTTCTGCAAATCTCCTGTGCCACCGGATAATTCAGGTGTTTCAGTTTGAGACTTTAGCGTTGTGGTTTTTTATGGAGCATTATCCTGCTGGAGGGAGCCATTAGACGACGGTGAACTGTGGGTCAAACGTGTGCCAAACATTCCCCACACCATCGCACCCCCACCAACCTGGACTGTTGACACAAGGCCGGACGGGTCCATGGTCATGCTGCAGATGCCAAACTCTGACCCTACCATCCAGATCCAGATCCAGATCCAGATCCAGAAGACCAGGTCTTCAACTGTGCAGTGTTGGTGAGTCTGTGTCCACTGCAGCCTCAGGTTTGTGGTCTTGGTGACAGGAAGTGGAACCTCACATGGTCTCCTGCTGTTGTAGGTTTGACGTGTTGTTCACTCTGAGTGACTGTAGCCTTTCAATCAGCTCCACCTGGTCTGTCCATTCTCCTCTGACCTCTCTCACCAACACACAGCTGCTGCTCACCGGACGCTTTTTATCCCTCACACTCTGTGTGTGTGTGTGTGTGTGTGTGTGTGTGTGTGTGTGTGTGTACCCCAGGAGATCCAGAACCAGCTCATCTGACACCAACAATCATGGCACACAAATTCACTGAGATCACTGAAGCTTCTGACTGTATCTGCAGGATTTTATGTTGCACTGCTGCCATGTGATTGGCCGATTGGATAACTGCACGAATAAGCAGGTGTACAGGTGTTCCCAATGAAGTGCTTGGTGAGTGTATATTTTTAAATGACTCATCACTTGAATTTCTCTAAATTGGATCAATAAAGCTTATGATATATTATCTCATTTAATCCTGTTCTTTATGTCTCTTGCATTATTTTATTCACATGTAAAATTCTCACATTTAGAAGCTCTGACGTCTTCACCACAGTTGAAAACAAAGCACTGTGGGTTTAAACAAAGTGTGACTGTGCAGATTCACCCTTATTGTATTAGTGTACTGTCACAGTATTTATCCCCCCCCCCCCGTTTGCTCATGAACACATGAACGGTACCTCTGCCTTTAGGTGTGACTTCTGTGACGAGGTCCTCCACTGTGACGTGCTCCAGGCCCTTTTCTCTGATCACATCTGGACACAAGAGTTCATGAGTTTAGAGGTCCAGTTTCATAGGAACACACACTAGCGCACGCACACACACACACACAAACAAACAATTACATGCAGTACCTTTGCAGTGTGCTTTAAGCTGATCCTTCCAGCCACACTCCACCAGCTTCGCCCTGAGCAACTCTTTCAACCTGCCGCCACACATTTAGTTGACATTTTGTAAATACGTGTAAAGACACTGCACAGTCTCTAAACCACTCACAACCGAAAACACTGCAGAGAAAGACTCGCTTACCTCTCCCGCTCCCCCATTTCTATCAGCTTCTGGTTTATTGCAGCCCTCATCTGGGAGTCTTTGCTCATGATCTGTCGGGGAATCAAATAAAAACAGTAAATCTGTCAGTTTGGATGCAACTAAATGTGATAAATATGTGAAATATGGTTTAATTCAGCTAGCAATCAGGTAGACGCTACCTTTTGTCGGGATGGATCAGCTGGGGAGCACACCGTCCCTTCACTAAAGCGTACCGTCTGAAACGTTCGCGGCGGAACGGTTTAAGGGTTCCGCTTTTTTGGCGGTAAATTCGTCACACGTTACGTCACCGTGAAAAAGTCCGGTTTAATGACACAGTTCATCCTCAAGAGACGGCGTCTGGTTTTTAAACACGAAAATAAGAACGAATTTAAGAGAAAATACATCGAGAACTCACCTTCCCATGAGCACCCGGGCCCGCCTTGTCCGCTCTAAAAATGGCGCCGTGTTCGACAAAACAGGAAACGTGTGTGATACTGACTTCTTCACCATCATCATCTTGTTGTACAGGATTGTCACCAACTTGTAAACAAGCCGGTCACATTAATCAAAACATGGCGGCGTCTAACTATTCCCTGAAGGTCAACAGAGACCTGCTGGACCCGAGCTTCGAAAGTTACCGGTTATCTCTGGACGCCATCCCAACCTACAACGTAGAGCTGGACGCTGGTGAGAGAAACTTAAGAGTGCAGTTAGCATGTGTGCTAGCCTAGCATTGATACCAGCTATCACTTATGCCATGTAACATCTTCATTTTTTTTTTTTACAGTTTGGTAATAATTTAAAACGTCCTGTGGTCATGCTAATTAACATTAGCTGGAACCCAGTGGTTCAAAATGTGGGTTAAGGTCCTCCACGTTTACCTGAAGGGGTCAGTAAGAAAGTGAACTGCAATGATTAGTCGATTAATCGGTTAGTCTGTGCAAAGACAATCGGTTAGTATTGTGAAGATGGAATAATTATTTTTATTGTGTTTTTAAGACAAAATACCAAATAATTTCTGGCTCCTGCTTTGATTTGATGTTCTTCTTTGTCATACATGACTGGTATCTGAATATCTTTGAGGGCTTCACTTTATGCTGTGGGAAAGTATATGGGTTTTTAAAAAAAATACTTTCTTACGTTTTATAAAGGAACTGAGTAATTCAGAAAATAATCTGCAGAATAATTGACAAACAATAACAGTTGGAGCCATATTCAATTCACTGCTGATTATCGTAATAACAGTGATGTTAGTGTGAACTTGTGTGTGTAAAATTGTCTTCGGCTTTAAAAATACAACACGAATACAAAGATTTAAAGTCAGTCTTAAAATTAGATTATTTTACATAACAACGAGGAGCTGGCTGCAAGATTTAGTTTATAAAAGAGTCATAATGTGTTCGATATCTTAGATGCACTCGGCAGGAACGACGACTTATTGCACATATGTCCGCTGTCTCTTGCTCGTCTCTAATGCCTCCATGAGGATTACAAAGTGCCTTTCATAAAACACACAAACAAAGAAAGCAAAGTGAAAGAGTACAGAGAAAAAAATCTCAGTCAAATTGACATTTGATAAAAATATAAACAAGATGAAAATAAAGGTAAAAGAAGAATAGAACATATGACAAAGAAAAAGCCACAAAAACGAGGGAAACGCTGGTGTGTTCATGAAGCAGATGATAACATCCATGTTTTCCCATTCATGTTGGCCACTACACATTAACAAATACATCTCGTAATCTTGTCAGATGTATATCAAGCTGATTTAAGTGGCTTAATAAAGCAAGACTATTATTTTACTGCTTGTATAACATATTAAGTGACATAGAAAAATATTTTGGTGCATCTTTATTACATATAAAAGCTGTTGCAGTAATCATAGGTTTAACTCCTGCTCAGTGAAAACTCTAAATATTTTCATTTTCATGTCTCACCTTTTGCTTTATCATCTGTCCCACAGCTGTGGAGGAAGTGAAGCTGAAGGACACTCAGTACACCCTGGAACATATGCGTGCTTTTGGCATGTACAACTACCTGCACTTAGACCCTTGGTATGAAGATAGTGTTTTATTTGTGGACTGCAAAGGACGAGTTCTCAGCCTCTCCGTCACTCTGGTAAGATTTTAAATCCTCCTGGTTTTTCTGAGAAGTCCTTGTTGCTGTTTACATCTATGTGCAGCAGCAGCATGTGGGTCTATTTACTGTTAGTTAGTTCAACATATCCTTCCACCAAAGTCTGTGAGGCAAATTCATGTGTATTTATTGTTCATGTCAAATAAAACAGTTGTGATGCTGATGTTGTGACAGTGGAATTATTGGTGGACTTTAGTTTAGTTCAGTTTATTTGGACAGAAGGAACAGTAAGACATTACAGCGCACGCAGATATAATAATAATAATGATAATGATAATGATAATAATAATAAATCAAGACAGAAGGCTGAACACTTCATATTTTTAAAAGTTATTAAAGAAGACGACAATTTGCAGTTGAGCTGAGTGAAATCAGAGACGAGGAACTTCTAAACCTGATTTAAAAATGATGATTAGAAGTTTGACAATAAGGTAAATGAAAATCCTTTGAGCGCCTCAGTAAATAAGAGTGAATGTCAGACGATAATAGAAGAATTATGAAATTTATTGAATTTAAACATTATCACACGAGTTAGAAGATGATTTGCAGAATAAATTGACAGAAGTTTAAATGTCCTAAACAAAGGTGCAGATGGGACTTAGCAGAGTTTGAAAGCATCTGTTTTTGTATTAGAAGTATCTGATTGAGGTATAAGTTGCCGTCAGTGCATCTGACTCACCAGCAGGTGGCGATCAAACACTTGTGTAACAGCAGCGTCGGCCCACGATGCTTTTCCGGCAGGTGATGTCAAGAGAAACTGAATTTCATCTGCAAAAATTCCACAAACTTCACATTTTAAAAGCTGCAGTGTCAACGTGGCTCTTCCCATCACTCTGTTCTTTCAGGGAGACGTTCAGTCAGAGGCAGTTTTAGGGGAAAAACAACTTCATTTGACTTTCTTTTGTCCGTTGGACGATAAAGTTTTGGATGAGTCCTTGTGTGTCTGTGGTTAATCACAGGTGTGATTTAGATAATTAACTCAAGATCCTGGTCCAGGACCAAGATGCTGAGACGAGGAGTAAAATCAGCACCGTGACCTTTTCAGCTGAGACTTCTTTTATGTCTCAGATATCATTGACCGTGATTAGAGGTAATTGGAGCAACATCAGTGATTTTTATGTCCAAACCGGCCTGAATGATGGTCATCACACTGTCATCCTGTGAGGAAGAATATCTGGCTTTCAGTTGCATCATTAAGTGACTCTTTATGGAAATGTGTTGCTCAAATCCTAATTACAATCATCACATGATAATTATCGGGCGGCGGGACCTTTTGTGTACGTTTGCAGGAGGGGTCGCGCGGCGCTTTGTGCAGAGGCGGATCACGCTCTCGTTCGGGACATTAACGGACACGGATGGTGGAGAAAATGATCTCAAAGGTGCACCCTACATTAGGTGGTGATATAATACACAGTGTTGAGCGCCATGGCAACAGCAGGGCAGCTGCTGCACAGTCCTTTTCAAACACTGTTACTTCCAAGCAGTGAGTAATTGACGCTCATGTGCGACGGATCTGTCCGTTACTAACGAGGCTCCGAGTTGTGAATCACGGCCGAGTCACATGTCCCGCCACCTGTGATTTCAGATGTTGATCAGAGTTTTCTTATTGGTTTATGGTGCAGTGACCTTTCTCTTCTTCTGTGGTTCAAAACCGTCTCTCGTTAAGCGTGTCTGAGTCCTTGTGAGTCATGACTGGACTGTTTAGAGAATAAAAGTAATTTGATTGGTTGGTAGCAGTAACAGACACATTTCATATTATTCTCTAATCTTCGACAGTCAGAGCGGCAGCCATTTTGTTTTTTCACGTTCTCCGTCCGTCTCTTTCTTATGGACACGATATCTCAGTAACACCTTGACAGAACTTCTTCAAATTTGGTACAAACATTCCCCTGGACTCCAGGACTAACTGATTAGATTTTGGGAGTCAAAGGTCAAAGGTCACGGGCGTGGTGACCTCACAAAACACTGTTGAAACAAAATCCATGTTGCACCATTCCTATGCTTTTCCTCACCACTAGTTCCGAAACAACAGAAAACTTGTCTGCATCTGTTTTGATAACTGACTCATTGATCGAGTTTCTTTTGGAGATTTTTCTCTTTGCTGCTTTTTTGTTTAAGATGTTGTAATGGGTATTTTTTCACTATATTTTGACATTTCATAGACCAAATAAATAACAGGGCAAGTAATTATCAGTTTCATCCACATCCACCAACATTCAAATTCACTCCACCCAGTCTCCTTGAATCAAACTCACTCTGGTTTAAATCCTCGTAGAAACGGCTGCAGTTGTTTTACATGGACACTGACCGAACGACCGACCGACCGACCGACCGACCGACCGACTGAACGACCGACCGACCGACCGACCGACCAACTGATGTGTCTGTTATGTTGTGAATCCAGGACACCGCCCTCGGGAAGCCAAGAGAGGTTTTCCGTATCAGCGCTGACTCCAGCCGGTGTGAGGATCGTCTCTGTGCCTCCCTCAGCCTCACCTCCGCCACCTGGGCCGCTCTCTCTGACGGCACCGGCCGACTCCACCTCCTCCGCACGGGCAAGAGGGGAGACAGCTCTCATACGAAGTGGGAGGTACGTAGAGCAACATGATCAAATAACTGTGTGAGTTTTCCATAATTCAGACATTACAATATAATCTAGAAGTCACTGTGGAGGTCAAAGGGTCGGGACTCATTCATGACCTTTTATTGACCTCTATTGGTGACTGAATGGTTAATGCAGCAACACTGACTGGGCTTCCTGCTTTGCTCTGATCACATCCCTCTCATCTCCACAAATGAGTGTTGTTTAAAACTGACACAAACACTTTGACATAGAGGAAAGCAGCTGAGCAGAAATCCTGTGCTGTATCATGAAGAGGAAACATTTCTCTCTCTGCTGCTTTGTCTTCTGCTTTATCGGCCGGACACAGACAGGTATCGCTCAGGTGCTTGTGACTGATGTTAGCATCAGACTGGAGGTGTGTTCAATGTCCAGAAACTGGGTGCACAAAGCCGACACCTCAGCGGCTGGTGATGTAATCTCTGAGTCATTGATGACAAAGTCAAAGCCCCGGAGGAGCAGAGTCAGTGATTAAAGAGAGCTCAGTGATTGTGACTGTGACAGAGTTGTTTGTAGCAGACGGTGAAGATTAGGAAAAGTCTTTTTTTTCTAACCGTCCAATGAAAACACTAAAACCCAGAATGAATTGATGCCATTAATAAGTAGCTTGTTCCTCTGTGTCATGCAGCTTCATTTTTGCCCAAAAACACTTCAGCGTTGCACCGAGCAACATGTTCCTTCACTAAACTGAACATGGGTGCTGTAGTTCATTTTAATCTGTCCCACATACATCGTCCTGCTGCCTAAAATCCTCAGCAGATAACTAGCTAGATAGAGAGATAGCTAGGTAGCTAGGTAGCTAGGTCGCTAGGTAGACGTACTTCATTGATCCCAAATTGGTAAATTACAGTTATAGCAGCTGATTTGAAAAATAATCTCAACGAATAACTAAGAATAAAAAACAGCTCAATCTACATAGAAGAAAAATAAAACACAATATCTCAGTAAACAATGTGCGCAGGGTTGTACAAACAGTGGAGTTTGGTTGAACCAGAAACTACAAACGTGTTAATCCACTGGAAAAAATAGTCCCGAATAAACGCACTTTATTCCTATGTGAGTGAATATTGTTTTAGGAAATAAGTGAGTATTTAGATTAATAAACTTTATTTATGAGTCTTTTTAAAATATAATATACAGTATATTTGAGTCCTCAGTAGGAACCAATGAGGAGCGAGTGCTGTAGATGATTAACTCTTAACTGTCGTCTTCTCTTTCTTATCCTGTAACCACCCGCTACATTAACCAAGCTAACCGGCCGTGAGTCCTGCTCAGAAACGTAGATGGAGCCTGTGAATTCTTTCCTCATAAAAACACCCAGTTATTCTTCACACACACTGAGACGTTTTTAACTGTTACTCAAATTCAAGCCTGAGAACCAGAGTGTGTGTTTAGAAAGCCGTCAGTAAGTGGTCTGTGGAAGTGAGGGTGAAGTCTTTGTGCTCTTCATCCTGTTCACAGTCGGGATCTGTTAACAGTGGAATCTGTGATGAAGAGTAAAGGCCTGGGGTCAGGCAGTGACCTCCAGTCGTGTAGTTTTCAGTAAAGTGAGGTGACATCAAAACAATTACCACAGTTATTAAATACATATATGAGGAGAAGCAGCTCTGGTCTTTTCCCGTCAGATTCCCTTCAAAGTTTTATTGTTATTCCTCCGCACGGCGACAGTCAGAGCGGCAGCCATATTGTTTTCAGGTTGTCCGTCCGTCTCGTTGACACGATATCTCAGAAAAACCTGGAAGGAACTTCTTCAGATTTTGCACAAACATTCACCAGGACTCCAGGATGAACTGATTAGACTTTGGTGATCAAAGGTCAAGGTCATGGTGACCTTAGAAAACACTTTTTAGCACAGAGATTATGACACAATTTCATACACATGGTTCATATTCTCTCTGACTCTGGATAAACAGGATGTGACCTGGAACTAGTCTGAGTGGCGGAGGGATACGACCACGAGGAGCTGGTTCTAGTTGTTTTTGTTTCTGTTGTTAATGTTTGTTGCTTTGATGTAATCAAAACGTTTTTTTTATTTATTTTTTTTAAATCAATAAACATATATATTTTTGAAATGACAGTTCGTTGCTTCTCTTCCTGTAGCCGCTGTTCAGCGAAGACACGGGGGAGCCGTTCACCGTCCTCCACAGCGTCTCACACGTCCAGGCCGGAGTTCACAACATGGAGGTTCTGCTGCTCCGCATCCAGAAGGACCCGCAGGAAACCAAAGGAAGCGGGTACTCTGTGTCTCTGGAGTGGATCACAGTCGCCAACACTGCAGGACATGGTGGGTGGTTCATTGACTTTGACATCATTGATCATGATTCTGCTAATTGAGCATGAAATAATATAAGACGAGTGTGTCTTACATAATTAGGTCTGAGTCATTATTTCTCTCTTTGTACATTTTTACAGAATCACATCCAGTAGATAGAAATCCTGTTTAATTAAACACTACTAGTCATAATCTGCCTTTAATGAAGTTTAATTATCATTTCTCAGATGAGATTAGTGCACAAACGCTGGCAGGAAGAATTTTCATTAAAGTTCTTGGCTTGAGCTGAGAAAGAAATTCACCCTGACTAATGATTCAAAGATCAGATCCTCCAGAGAATAAAGCAGCCGCAGCCTTTTGAGAGTCTCTTCCTCAGTCATCTGGATGTAAAGAAGCAGCACTTTAATATCTGAGAGCTGAAGCTTCATCCGTCTCAGTGTTTGACAGACGTGTCAGTCGGGAGGGTTCGGATGGACCTGAGCCTCTAAAACCAGTTCTGTCATACAGTGTGGTTTAATGCAGAGGATCAATATCAATAATATAGGTCAATATTCTTTCTTAAAATACAATTGAGTCAATATCTGTAACAGAAAAATCTCTATTCTGTGATTTTTATCAAGGAATGCATCATCATAAACTGTTAATAAAGAACATTTGTAATTAACTGGAGCTGCATCAATCTGAACATAATGAAAATCTCAATACGGCCGAGTGCAATATCCTGATCCTCAGGAGCTGCAGTTTTATTGATGAAGGTAAAATGTGTCACATTGATGTGCGTTGTTAGCATTAGCATTGTTAGCGCCATAAGTGTGATGCTACCGAGACGCCCCGTTCTACAAATCACCTTCTGCTGATGTAAAGGAACGTGACACAAATCACATCATCTTCATTTTTGTTCTTTTCAGTGAAAATATTTTTTGCACATGATGCGTTTGTTTTTCTCTTTTTTATCAGATATTTGTTATTGAGCCAAAGAAAGTTATACACACAGTTTAAAGTATAAAAACAGTATAAAATGATACTAATGTACATTCACAGATATAAAACAGATGATATAAAGGTGTAAGGATTGTCCTGTGATTTAAACATTATCCAAGATAAACAGCTGAAAAAGAAACGAATAAAAAACTCAATAAATTAACAAATGAACAAATAATTAAATGATAACACAAAATAAAAACTGACAAAATTAAATGTGTAAGAGAAAAGATGAATGTGAATCTGTGGAAACAAAACTCAGATGAGGAAACTTTTATCTTCCCTCTTGGAGTTCCTCCTTTCCTAAACCTCATTTTCACAGCAGAAACATTTAGTTCACAGATCTAATAACTGATAAGAGAAAAGAATGAAAGTCTGGATGTCGTCATGATCGCAGGTGAAAGCTTCGCCCTGATGGAAGCGACCTGAGCTCGACTCCGTCCTGAGACGTGTCGATGTTGTTATACTTCCTCTTTTCCTGTGTCGGAGTTTAATAGGAGACGAGATGACTTTACACCTCCATCACTGCATCCCGTTGTTCCCGCACGCAGGTCAGGAGAAGAGCTACGAGGTGAGGAAGAGGAGGGTCCTCAGGGGGAAGTCGGTGCCTCACTACGCGGCGGTGGAGCCGCGGGGGAGGGGGCTGATGGTGGCCTCGGAGAAACCGTTTGTCTTCACGCACGTGGACGGTCGTCCTGTGGAGCAGCCCGAGCCGGAGCCCATGGAGGAGGAGAAGACAGGTGGGTCACAGGTGGAGCTGGAAACGTATTACTGTGGTTAAAGACAACACGACTCCACCACATATTTACACTTTAAAAACACTGTTGTCATTTTATTTTCTCTGTTGGAAACCATCTGTGACGAGCAGATAAAAGTCCCAGCGAATGATTTTCCCTGAAGCTCAGTTTTATTATTGTAGGAGATAAGTCATTTTAAAGCTGCAGTTATACTGTTCTGTGAAATGAGGCGAGAGGATCACGACCGCAGTTTTAAAAAACACAGTCCTGACGTGTTTTGACTTTATGGGTACTGTGTTAGCAAACACTATTGATTTATACATCCAGCAGCCATGACAACATTATCCTTCAATTCAAAGTCTGATATTCACTCTCCACTGACGCCGCAGAAGAACACCTGGACCTTTAGCTGCTAAATGCTGCAGCTCTTTCAGCAGCTACTGGCTCTGACTTTGTGTGTGTTGGGTTGGTTGTTTATTGGGTTTATTAATGTGTTTTCATTGAAAACAGCTGCTGCTGTTAACAAGGCTGACGACAGTGTTTGAGCCAGAGGCTGAAAATCTCTGTAGAAACCAAATCACTGTGTTTGTCGCCACAAGCAGCTGCTTTAATGTGACACGTTTCCATTCGCACCAGTTTTATTACAAAAACACTGATTATTAGATCATTTCTATCAAGTTCTCCGTCGAGCAACATTCACTTGTTTGGCTCATTACCTGGAGGAGCTAGGGGTGGACTGGCTGGGTTATCGTCATGGAAACGCCTGAGTGGTCATCAGAATATATATTATACGGTGATCTGTGTCTGTTTACACTGATTCGTTTCCAGGCCATTTATTCCTGCACAGACAAACAGTGTCTGGCTCTTCCCTCACGGGATCAAAGTGTGTGTTTGGTTTTCTGAGGGCGTCATTTAGATCTGGGATTAATGAATATAACCCGTTTAAGCTTTTATTATATATTTGACTATTGGCTTGATTTAGTAAAAATGTAAGAAATAAAGACAAATGCCCGTCACAGGTCACCGGAGCCCAAACTCATCATTTTAACAACAGTAAGAAAAAATTTTAAAAAAGTTTTTGGAGAGTGAAACAAAAAATGTGTTGTTAAATAACTAATTCATAAAACTGCCAATAATTTATTTCTAATCGATTAAAGGAATAGTTCCATCGTGTCTGTATGGTAAATATTAAGGTAAAGTCAGAAGAAGGTTAGCTTAGCATAAAGACTGTAAACAGCTAGCCTGGCTCCGTCTTTAAAGCTCACAAGATAAACCGTGTTAATGAGTGAGCTGTTAATTACAGGTGCTGACAGGTGCTGACAGGTGCAGCCAGGCCGGCATGTACCTGGATGTTTCCATGCCTCAGTGACTAAAGCAGCTGTTCACATCCACAATCCTCTCTGCTTCTTCTCTCCTCAAACAAACAGAAGAAGAACTTCTGTTTTCAAAAGATAGAAGAGAAAACACCTAGAGGTGTGTGTGTGTGTGTGTGTGTGTGTGTGTGTGTGTGTGTGTGTGTGTGTGTGTGTGTGTGTGTGTGTGTGTGTGTGTGTGTGTGTGTGTGTGCGTGCGTGTGCAGGCAGAGTAATGGCAGCTTTTTAGCCGTTCCTTTTGTCAGTGTTCTGCTTTACTCATTTTGGAGGAAAGACTGGATTAGATGTTGAAGAGGAGGAGGAGGAGGAGGAGGAAGAGGAGGAGTCTTCAGAGAGGTCTGTAGGTGATGACAGAGGAGGCAGGAGAGATGGAGGTGACATGGACTTTGTAGATGGAGAGAGAGCATGATGAGCCTCTCTCTCCTCTCTCCTCTCTCCTCTCTCCTCTATCCTCTATCCTCTCCTCTCTCCTCTCCTCTCCTCTCTCCTCTCCTCTCTCCTCTCCTCTCTCCTCTCCTCTCTACTCTCCTCTCCTCGTCTCCTCTCTCCTCTCTCCTCCTCTCTCCTCTCTCTTCCTCTCTCCTCTCCCTCTCCTCTCCTCTCCTCTCTCCTCTCTCCTCTCCCTCTCTCTCTCTCTCCTCTCGTCCTTCTCCTCTCTCTCCTCTCTCCTCTCCCTCTCTCTCCTCTCTCCTCTCTCCTCTCCTCTCTCTCTCCTCTCCTCTCTCTCTCTCCTCTCCTCTCTCTCCTCTCCTCTCCTCTCTCTCTCTCCTCTCTCCTCTCCTCTCCTCTCTCCTCTCCTCTCCTCTCTCCTCTCCTCTCTCCTCTTCTCCTTCTCCTCTACCCTCTCGTCCTCTCCTCTCCCTCTCTCCCTCTTTCTCCTCTCCTCTCTTTCCTCCCTCTCCTCTCCTCTCTCCTCCTCTCCTCTCTCCTCTCTCCTCTCTCTCTCTCCTCTTCCTCTCCTCCTCCCCCTCTCTCCTCTCTCCTCTCCTCTCCTCTCTCCTCCTCTCCTCTCCTCCTCTCTCCTCTCTCCTCTCTCCTCTCTCCTCTCCTCTCTTCCTCTGCCTCTCCTCTCTCCTCTCCCTCTCTCCTCTCTCCTCTTCCTCTCCCTCTCTCCTCTCTCCTCTCTCCTCTTCTCCTCTCCTACCTACTCCTCTCTCCTCTTCTCCTCTCCTCTCTCCTCTTCCTTCTCCTCTCTCCCTCTCCTCTCTCCTCTCCTCTCTCCTCTCTCCTCTCTCCTCTCTCCTGATGATGTGAACAGAGTGAGCTCCTCAGGTCGTCTGTCTCTCTGCTGTGAACCACTTTCTGTTTATAAAAGTGTGAATGAAGTTTGTCTCATTATTGAGTTTCCAGCTGCTGAAAGGAGGCAGACACTATTTCTGCTGCTTTTTAAAATCCTGGCAGCTTCATTACAGAGAGGAGGAAACCTTTCACCCGCGGCGAGGAGCGTAGCCTGAATCTCCCTCCAGGTCGGGAGCAGGTGAACAGGACTGTGTTGATGACAGAATCGGATTCAAAGGGATTTAATTTCAGAGATATTTATCGGTGAACAACCTCTGACTCCTTCTTGAAAATGTGATTCAAACACGAGGCTGCAGAACAGTGTCGGGATTGTTCCGGCTGTGATGATGCACTTGGCAGCTGAAGTCATTTCATCGAGCATCTGTTAGAGAGAAGTAAGAGAAGGAGACGAGGCTTTAACAAACATGGCTGCCGGCTTCTGCTTCATTGAGGGTCTACATCTGTTCCCGCCACCGAAGCCAACGCGCTGTGACGAATTCTGTGCTTCATTATGGCAGACCGCACGGCACAGGGGACGTCACTGACAAAGAACAGCACGAAACAAAACATATTTGATGGAGGATCACAAAATGTCACCAGGCCGGCTGAGGAGCTGCGTCACAGGCTTCTCAACAATGTGGGCAGTGGTGAGAACAGATTTGTTCCCTGTGAAGAAGAAGCAGAAATGCAGCCATCATGTTTGTGGGAAAGGTGAATACAGGAAGCAGCTGACTGACTGAACTTCTTAAAACACACATAACCGTAACTTATGGTCACAAACATAAGGAAAACTAGAAAACACAGAAGCAAACCTCCACTGATGCTGCACAAGCCTCTAAATCACTGGTATTTTAATTTGAATGATCCTCTCTGATTACTTCATTTTTTAGTATTCTGCTATGATTCATATTTTAATATTTTAATATTTAGTTTAACTGGAAAACTGGGTCTGAAGCTCGTCTCCTCTCACTTCCTCACTGAGAAATCTGGATCAGGCCTTGAGCCCCGCCCACCACCTGTTGCTCCAGGTGGACAGGTGAGAGATCAGAGAGCATCAAGATGGTGAGAGGAGGAAACATCAGAGAGACTCAGCCACATGTTTGAGCCTCAGTCAGACCCAGACTCAGAGGAGGAGTCTGAGACCAGAACCAGAGACTAGCAGACGGGTCAGAGCGGTTAGCTTAGTTAGCATCTTCTCAGAACTGTTAGCATAGTTAGCATCTTTTATTTGTTTATGCTGTTTGTTAGCTTGCTAACTGGCAGTGGCTGACACAGTGTTAGCAGTTGTGCTAATGCTAACTCTCTCTGTCTCTGTACTGACAAGGTTTCAGGTGTATTTAGCCCCGCCCCCCGTCCCCACAAGCTGACAGGATTGGTTCCTGAGGTCTGTGACATATGAGTCTCTGACTGTCTGAATCTGTGTTTATGAGACTGTGATTGGTTCACTGCAGTTCAAGGTGGAAACACTCAGTCATGGTGTTGATGATATTTCATCATCATGTGTCTGTGTTATATAAAAACATTATATGTCATATATGTCTTCAAAAACACAGTCCACATTACAAAAATATATTGTTTGATTTCACAAAAGATTAAGAAGCCGTCGTCTCCTCATCGTCTCCTCATCGTCTCCTCTTGTGATCTGATCATTAATTAATTTGAATAGACTTCCATCTGCATCTGTGTAAATATTCAGCAGTAGCTCCCGTCACTTCCTGTGTGGTGTTGGATGTCGTTAACTTCAGCTCCACCCGTCTCTCTCCTGTTTGGCTTCAGATCCCATTTACTTCTGGCAGCAGACGATGGAGGACATCACCGTGTGTGTGCGCCTCCCCGAGGGCATCACCAAGGAGGAGGTGCAGTACAGGCTGACGGCCGACAACGTCAGCATCGGAGTCCAGGGTTTTCCTCCTCTACTGCAAGGCCAGCTGTTTGCACCTGTAGACCCCGAGGCCAGCGCCTGGATCATCAGAGACAACAAAAGGTTAGAAACCTGGAGTCTGGATTGTTCTTTGACTTCAGTGTTTTCAGCCATGACAGTGGAAACCTCAGTTCATTACATCAGTATCTCAATTTGTTTGAATATTACGTCTGAACAAGGTGAACAAGGTGAACAGGGAGACGCAAACCTCTGACTTCAGGGAGCAGTTTCCTCCTTCATCTTTCATTCTCTAACAATCTTTTATCAAAACTGTAGATCTCACAAAGTGTAAATGTTCTGAACAGATTATGAAAGAAATATTTTGTCCAGTCCCACTAGAACATGACAGCGTTGCATTTCCACTCATTTCACATATAATAATAATAATAATAATAATAATAATAATAATAACTTTATTATTTATTATAACAGTTATGAAGTTCTGTACAAACATCAAAACAAAACAAAGCAATAAAAACCACAGAGAAGAGAGGGCTGTTTTCAGCCAGGAAAAGTGCTGACCTCGACCGGGGTTTTCGTCAGTCAGTGAAGTCTGAGACTGACCGACACTGGAGGATCACGATCACAGCTCCACAGTGACATCAGCTTTTATCCATTTGAAACGGTAAAATATTTTGTGTTCATTATAAACTGTGTTGGGACAAATCAGACGGTGTCAGAGGACGCGGTGCTTCCGTGTGACCCAGGACACATTCACCTTCACACTGCTCAAAGAATGTGGTCTCATGTGGTCCAGACCTCCTGAATGTGGTCTGAGTGATCGGAGCTCAGATGGGTCCTTAAGTCTTGGGTGTGTTCACACCTGAAGTTAGAGCTGACCACGTGTGATCAGATCACCTGAGACAGATGTTTATTACCAGGTCTGAACAGGTCTGAACTAGGGATGGGCACTTGAAGAAATTTCCTTATTTGATCATCAGAAAAATTAATAATTATCGATTCACTATTAATTTTATTAATAAATTAATCTTTATTCCAAGAAGAAATTATAGTCCAACAACAATCCTCCTTAACGAGGCAGTGGAAGTTTAAAGTTTAGCTATTAAACAGAACAAAAAAGATATGCGGCGCTCCTAATGACAGCGGAGCCCGAGGCTCTGAGCCAAACCTCTTCACAAAGAACAAGCCGAAGCTGCGGCGCTTATACACGCCGTTGCAATGTTTACAATGAGCTTCATTATTTCTCAGATGGAAATGTTCCCACACCAAACTTCTGTTTAGAAGCAGGTCGGCGTGATTGTTGAGCCTCAGATTGAGGTGGAGGAGGAGTTCTAGATGAGAAACAGTCGACCGGCTCTTCTTCTTCTTCTTCTTCTTTTTAAATGACATCCTCTGCGATTCAGTGTTTCAAAGCAATAAAACATGACGAAAGGAGAGAGGGGCTTGAATAGTTTTCCTAAGCAGCGATTCTATGAAACCGGTCGTGAATGTGAGTTGAGTCATATCCTCCACTTTTAGACCTTTCATGTGTCTCTATCACCGCTCCACCTCTGCTTCCTGTCCCGTTATACTCAGTTCTACTTTCAGTTTAACATGTTACATGGACTGTGTCCTGATAATCCTTGATAAGTTCAGAGTCTGTCTGTCTGTCTGTCTGTCTGTCTGTCTGTCTGTCTGTCTGATTAAGTTTTATTTATTTCCTATTTCATATTCTTTCAGCTTATCGCTGCTTTTCTACCAGGGATCAATTTTACCATCGTTTGGTGGTCGATGATTCCAGCCTGTGACCCTCTCTCTCTCTCTCTCTCTCTCTCTCTCTCTCTCTCTCTCTCTCTCTCTGTATCTCTGTGACCCTCTAGACCCTTTAAGCTGTAGATGTCTGGAGAAAATCACACCTTCATTTTGATGTTGACTGTTTCTCCAAAGATGCACGGAGGACGATATGGTAGACAAAGAAAAAGTAGACACATGTAGTTTAGATGGAGATCCTGGACCGTGTGTGTGTGTGTGTGTGTGTGTGTGTGTGTGTGTGGACTGCATCTGGATGACCATGGTTGTGTTGAGTGTGTTTTTCAATACCAATGGGTTTGCGGACAGACAGCTGAGCTCCGTCCGAATTAAGAAGCTGCCCTTTGTGTGTCTCTCATACCTTCTCATGGTTGCTCAGATATAGATCTGTTTTCTAACATCCCTCAGTACAACAGAGTGTAAATGACATGTTCTTAGATTGAAGCTGCAACATGCTGCAGCAGGAGGTCGACTATTTTCATCCATGGGAAAAAAAAAAATCAAAATCAGAAGGAAGTAGAATGACCAAGGCCAAACAACGCTGCACGTCTGTCTCACTGTCGTAATAGAAAAATACTACAATCACCTCTTCATGCTCGTATCCCTCCGCCACTCAGACTATAGTTCCAGGTTACATCCTGTTTATCCAGAGTCAGAGAAAATATTAAACATTTGTGTGAAATTTTGTCATGGCTAAACTGTGTTTTGTGAGGTCACACTGACCTTTGACCTTTAGCCACCAAAATCTAATCTGTTCATCCTTGAGTTCTACTGAATGTTTGTCAAGTTTGAAGAAGTTCCTTCAAGGTGTTGCTGAGATATTGTGCGAATGGGTCGGATGGACAACCTGAAAACAAAATGGCCACCGGAGGAGTAAAGAAGGAAAAGAAAAAAAACCCAGGTTTCCGCCCTTTAACTGGATCTGCACCAAAATATAATGGATTCTTCTCTGGCCCGTGACCCATCCCTCCACCAGGTCTGGAGCAGATCAGTTCAGGACTTTCTGTGAAATCCTGCTGGAAACAAACGTAACATCTGTGTTTCTCCTGAGTAATATTACTGGTCGAACTGGAACCCAAAGAGATTTAAATTTGCCTGAACTCGGACCAAACGGCGTCAGAGAGTTCAGGAACAGGAACATGATGAAGCGTGGTTCATTATTCTCTCCTTGTTTAATACAAACCGTTTCGCTGCAACTATAAATGTGAGTTTTCATCGCTCTGGGCAAAACGCATAAATGTAAAACATGTAACGAGGAACCCTAAAGGAGTTTAAATCGAAACAACTGGACGTGATTATTTGTCTGGGAAGGCGTTTCACCTGGACCAGTCCCAGCCTGGTCAGATGCGTACATGAACTGATGAAGCCTCTTGGATGAGAGGTGAAACGCCTTCCCAGACAAATAATCAAGTCCAGTTGTTTCTTCGATTTAAACTCCTTTAGGATACTATGACCTGGACAAATGAGAATATGCACAGGCTGATGTAACGAGGAAGATAATGTCATTTTAATTTAATTCTAATTTATTCCTCTTTTTCCTTGAATCTTTGAAGACTGATCGTCATTAACATTATTCTGCTGAGAATTAATGAACAGACTGACGCGTCGACTCACCCTCCGCTCGGTGTAAAGACTCCGTGTGGAACGACAGAACGACCTTAATTACTGTCAGTAATTAAAATGATCTGTGTAGAAATAACGATTGATTTATTCATTAATTAGATTTTCATAATTAACAACAAAACCTGACAGACACTTAATAAATATAGATGATCAATTATTTAAAAATCTCAGGCAGAAAATTCAAATATCAAAATTAGAGCTGAAACTAACAATTATTCTTTTTAATTATTGATTAATTACAATTGGACTTAAATGATTTTTACATTTTATCAATTATTTCCCAATCAATTCATCCTTTGGTCTATAAGACGTTTATAACAACAGACACTCACTCAGTTTGACTTCTCTGTGATAATAAATCATTTTTAAATCTGACCAATTACTCTTGTTAACTATTGATTAGAATTAACTAATCTAATTAGAATTAAATTATTCATCATTCCATCAGTTATTTCCTGATTGATTCGGTCTCTGGTCTGTAAAATATTTATAAAACAAAAACAACAATCCAACATATTCATATTTATTGTGAAGACTGAGAAAACATTTTCATTTGTCACAGTTTTGTATTTTCTCTTGAAATATAAAGAGTTATCAATAGTTGAACAGTTGTTGATTTCGTTTTTTAACAGCTGATTAACTGTGTAATTAGTGCAGCTCTAATCAAAGCACAACTTATTACAATAAATTAGCAAATAGATAAAAACTCAAACTCATCTCATGCTGCGTGATATGAGCAGATGATGATGATGTTGCAGTAATTTTCATGATGATCTTCATCACTTCAGTTGATTAAACATGTTGTAAAGAGGAGAGAAACATGTGACTGACTTCAACTCTTCTGCTTTTTGTTCTGTTTTCTTCTCGGCGTCTCTGGTTTGATTTATTCTGCCGGTCACCTTCACACACCTCTCTCTCACTGAGGAAGATGATGTGAGTCAAAGTGGGTCAGACTCAGTGAGTAACTCTTCACGCTCTCCTCTGGTCCTTCTCATCAGCTCTGTGTTTTATCCCACCAGGCTGCTGATTGGATGTTTACCGGCTGATTGCATCGCTCTCATTCTCAAGTGTTTCGTCTGTGGTTCATAGAAAGCTCTGACAGTTTCCAGAGACTTGGAAGCATCTTGTCAGTTGTGGCATTTAGGAAACCAGGAAATGAGCTCGGCCTGTCTGTGTGTGTCATTTACATATATATGTCTCATTGGGGGACGTGACGTGTTTTAACGGTTTAGGCAGGTACTAGTGATGGTTAAGGTTAGAGGAAGTCTCCAATCAATCATCAATCAATCAAACTTATTTGTACAGCACTTTTCATACAGGTCACTGCAGTTCAAAGAGCGTCACCAACGACTGATGAGCTGAAAAGAAAAATGATAAAATAGATTAAAAAAGCAACAATAACATGAACAAACAAAAACAAACATAAGACGATTTATAATAAAAGAACAAATAAAATAGAATAAAGCATCATCACAATAAAGTACGTGAATAAATAAAGTGAGTGATGAACAAAATCCATATTTAATTAAAATCCAGGCTGACAGGAAATGACTGTGTGTGTGTGTGTGTGTGTGTGTGTGTGTGTGTGTGTGTGTGTGTGTGTGTGTGTGTGTGTGTGTGTCCTCAGTCTGGAGGTGACCTTGCAGAAGCGCAGTGAGGGACCCGTGTGGCCGGAGCTGGTGATGGGCGACAGGAGGGGAGAGCATGTGATGAGTGACGAGCAGGCCGCCCTGATCCACCAGAGACTGACCCACCTGACCTCTGAAGACCTGGTGAGGCTGAGACATGACACTGATAACTGCAGCGCTGCACCTGACGCACGGCTCTCTGCACCATCGTGTGTTACAGATACTAAAGGAGCAGCAGTTTACTTTTCCTTGAGTTAGAATGGAAATTGGCCTTTTTAAAATTTGAGATATTTTCTTTCCAAAGTTGACATTGTGCTTTGAGCATCACGCTGAAAAAACTTTGGATTGTGTGTATATTTCAAAAATTTGGGGGAAAATGGTGATAATTAAAACTCATTTGTGCTTAATCCAGTGAGTTAAATACTTAATTAATTAATCAGTTCACATTAATCAAATAAAAATGTAATGTTACATTAAAACTTAGCTCAACTATAATTCACCCTAGAATATTAAAGCGATGAATATCTTGGTGTAAACAGATGGTAAAAATATCTGACAGTGAATTTTCACAGTATATATATAAATATATATATAATATATATATCAACATATTCTCCAACCCTGCTGCCACTTGTCTGGTTGAATCATCTGGGTGTTAAATCAGTGTGTGTTGGAGGAGATGACTCAGCCATGAAACTTTCATGAAGCTTGTCTTTGTCTTGTCTGGTTTCCTCTGGAGGTTTTCTCATGACCTTCTATACCTTTTTATTAAGCCCCCCCCCTCCTCTGTGGCCTCTTGTCTCTGTCACGTTCCTCTTCAGCTGCTCTGAGCTGCTCTTCTTCTCCTTCCTCCTCCTGACGTCTTGTGCTCATCACCACGCTCCGGTCTCCAGAGTCGCTCCCGGCCTCGTGTTCGACAGCGTTTTCAGCCACTTCCTCTCCCGCCCTCAGCCTCTATTAGCATCATCTGGGCCCACTTGAACTGGAGGCCCTCAGCGCAGATCAAGCCTTTTACATGCTAATAAATGCAAAACAAGTTGTAACTGCGGCTGCTGTTGTCCTGTTCCTTCTCTTTGTACAGAACGGGAACCCTGACAGGGACAAGCCTCCTTGTAACTCTCAGGAGCTGGAGGACTGTGATGGCTTCCCAGAAGACAGCTCCAGCCTCACACACTTCGATGGAGAATCTCTCCGACCCACTCAGGTGGTGAGTAACGCCTCTCTCCTTCACTCTGATTCTCCAGTAACTCCAACCTGAGCCACATCAACCCCCCAAACGCTGAGCGAGCCACTGCTGGCCTTGCCCTTTGACAAGCCACTTGCCCAGGGAGCTCGACAAAGGACCAGTAAAGAATGAACAGGCGCACCCACTTCATTTCCCTCCTCCACCCTCGTGACTCGAATAGTAAGAAGTTGCACCGTTGTGGCCGACGTCTCTTTCTATCAGAGATCAGGCAGAGAATAAATTGTGTCGCTCTGCAGAGTTATCCGGTGGTTAGAGAAGTCCACATTTTTATTTTTGTTTTCTACATTTTTCACGTTGTTGTTTCCAGGTTTTTCATTGTTGTACGGTCACACCTGAGTCACGTCTCGACTCTTTGCCTTTTGCACAGAGGACGCTGTGGACTTGTTGACCTGTGTCCAAACATATAGTCTCTGAGTCTGGTCTCAACAGACTCCTCATCTGAGTCTGGGTCTGACTGAGGCTCTTTGCTCACAAAGCTAACCGTTCTGACGAGATGCTATCTACGCTAACCATTCTAAAAAGATGCTAACTATGCTAACCGTTCTGATCCGTCTGCTAGTCTCTGGTTCTGACTCCTCTGAGTCTGGGTCTGACTGAGGAGCTTTAAACGAGGCGTACGTGAGCTAACGTCCTTCACTCTGTAAACCTTGTTTTACCAGGTGAGTTGAGTGAGACTCAGGTGTGTGTTCCTTACAGCAGTAACCTTCAGGAGAAGCTCTGGTATGAAGGTGTGCAAACATTTAATCTGAAAGGCTGCCCGCTGAAATCTCCTCCTTGTACTTCAATTACTTTTCCAACCTCTCTGAAGCAGCGGAAGGTTTGTTCTTAAAAAAGCAGGAAGCTTGTGTTGTTGCTCCATCCGGAGCATGTGAGGAAAAACTGCTGTTATTTTCCCCAAGGTGAGAAACGTACGTCACATGTTGCAGATTGAAGAGAAAGTCTGTTTTAGTTTGAAAAAACCTGGATTATACTAACCTTAGACATCAGAGCTTCCTAAAATCCTTAGATGGACGTGAGGAAGTGACACGTACGCTTTCAAAATTAGCATAAAAAGCTAAATGAAAACACTCCGCTTCGTGACGTAAGCATTTCTCTAAGCAGCAACCTTTCCTCTGTGTTTTGAAAATACTGAATAATGAGAATAAGTTCATGTTTTTCTTTTCCCAAAGCAGATGAATCGCACTTTACAAAAGCTCCATTCATGTTTGGACATTAGTCTCCGTCCATCACTGATGCTCCTCTTTCACTTTCTCTGTTTCATTGGCACTAAATAGTTTCTGTGTTGATGGTGAAGAATTCCACTCTCAACAGAAAAACACGAGCCCTTTGATTATGTAATGAAAGGCGAATAATGAGTGTTGAATATGAGGCTCAGTGTTTCTGCCTGATTCTTCCTGGTGTTTATAAAAGCTCTTTATGTTTCTGCCTCCATTTACTGAGCAGAAGCTGCTGCCCTTAAATCAGACCTATCAGCTGTGTGAAGGACGCTGCTCTGTTTGTTCCACATGTGTGTGAACATGTGAGTGTAGACAGGTGTGTGTGTGTGTGTGTGTGTGTGTGTGTGGATGTATCTCATCCAGGAAGCTGTATACCGTTCTTTTCTTTGTATCCACCTTAATGCTCCAGTCCAAACCCACCTCCTTTTTAAAAACCTCTCAGCTGAAAACCGTGGCTCCGTCTATTAATTGTGCAGCTCGGCTGAGACGCTTCGTGTTGGTTCCAGTCCCAGCTGAAAAGATGAAGAAGAGTTTTTATGTTTGTTCACCGGAGGAGGCCTGAGTCATATCCACCGACCACGTCTGTCATAGCTTTTATAAAGGAGTGTATCTGTAGCTACTGACGGCTTCGGCTGCAGAGCCTCAGAACAACATGGAGGCTTTTATTTGTAGAGAAGATTTTGAAATCTTTTGAAAACACTTGAAGTTTTATATTATTATTTATATCACAAAATATAAATGAAATCTTTTTTTTTTTGTTAAAATAAGAAGGATATTGATTTTATATTAGAATCACTAGTAGCTCTGAATGATCATGTTTGTGTCAGAAATAACCAACAGTGTGTTCACAGGCTGGAGAGGGTGAAAGTTTATTTCACCAGTTATAATAAGAACTTACAGCTGCAGTTCATTCACATTCATTCTTTAATTTGGCCAAACTGCATTAAAGCGACTCCACATGCTCATGGTGGCGTATTATTTCCTCTGGGTTAAAGATGGCGTCTCTGAGGAGGAAGTAACTCGTGGAACTTGATGTGGGGAGAGAGAGATGGATCTTTCCACAGAGAAATGATCCAGGTGATCACCTCAGGTCAGATTCAGACAGGTAGCATGTAGCTCTGCAGCTGCTGACTGGAATATTGATCTACTGAGAGGAAGGAGCAGTTTGTTATTATTATTATTACCAGAACTCGTCAAAGATGCAGCAGCTGCTCTAAATTAATGTAACATCACTTTTGAATGTCATGAGAAAACAGCACAAGAGCTGCACAATTATAATAATAATTTTTTTTTTGCATGTCGTGCAGCCTTAGATAGCACTGAGTAATGTTTAATATACCATTAATGTCATTTCCTAATAAATATGAACTAAAGTAGTGGATTGTTGACTTTTCTCTGGCTGGACTGAAACAACAGGCAACATTATTTTATCTGATTCCTCTCGACAGACAGTGATGTGTTTGCTCCTCGTGCTGCACATGAACATGTTTCTTTCATATTCAGTCAGAGACACGACAGTCGTCTGTCTGTACTTCTTCTGGAAGCTCTTGTGAGAAACTTACAGCAAATACAGACGAGATGTGAGTCTAACTCAGGACAGATGTGAGTCTAACTCAGGACAGATGTGACTAACTCAGGACAGATGTGACTAACTCAGGACAGATGTGAATCTAACCCAGGACAGATGTGAGTCTAACTCAGGACAGATATGACTAACCCAGGACAGATGTGAATCTAACCCAGGACAGATGTGAATCTAACCCAGGACAGATGTGAGTCTAACCCAGGACAGATGTGAGTCTAACTCAGGACAGATGTGACTAACTCAGGACAGATGTGAATCTAACCCAGGACAGATGTGAGTCTAACTCAGGACAGATATGACTAACCCAGGACAGATGTGAATCTAACCCAGGACAGATGTGAGTCTAACTCAGGACAGATGTGAGTCTAACCCAGGACAGATGTGACTCTAACTCAGGACAGATGTGACTAACTCAGGACAGATGTGAATCTAACCCAGGACAGATGTGAGTCTAACTCAGGACAGATATGACTAACCCAGGACAGATGTGAATCTAACCCAGGACAGATGTGAGTCTAACTCAGGACAGATGTGAGTCTAACCCAGGACAGATGTGACTCTAACTCAGGACAGATGTGACTAACTCAGGACAGATGTGAATCTAACCCAGGACTGACTAACCCAGGACAGATGTGAATCTAACCCAGGACAGATGTGAGTCTAACTCAGGACAGATGTGAGTCTAACCCAGGACAGATGTGACTCTAACTCAGGACAGATGTGACTAACTCAGGACAGATGTGAGTCTAACCCAGGACAGATGTGACAATAGAGCGTCTCCCACCACTCATTTAAGATTCTTCCAGATATCAGCTTTAAAACAATCCCCTTCTCTCCGCTCTGATTGGACGGACCGACAGCGGCTCTCCGCTATGACCCCAGACCAGACTGAGTGATATTAAAGGTCATCCTGATGCAGCTGGTTTCTCTACAGTCAACAGAAAAAGCACTTTAGTGGTTTGAAAAGACAAAGTTCAGCGTCTGAGTGTAAGTAAATCAGGATTGTTCCTCCGGCTGTGGAGTGGTGAGCAGCAGCAGCAGCAGCAGCAGCAGCAGCAGCAGCAGCATGACGGCAGCACTGACTGAGACAGACAGATGGTATTTCAGCTGATGTTACAGACATGTGGCCTCTGTGTTCAGGTGCATTTGCTTTTGATTTTGTAATGACAGCGTCTCATTTCCTTTCCTCAAAGCCCCTTTGATAGAAAGAGAGTTCACTAAAAAGCTTTTTCAGACGGAGGACGAGTACAAGTCATTTACTCTCTATTCAGAGTGTATTTGTAGTTCTTCATATTGTGTCAGTCGTGAAACCTCAACAAGACAATTATTGTAAAGATATTAACAAAAACATCGGTCCACCTCACAGGGTTAAACCCGTACCACATATAATAGAGTACAACACGTTATTGGCTTTAATACTTTACCTTTCCTGATTTGATTTATTTATTTATGGATTTACAAAAGTTTTTGCCATTTTACTGCAACATGTTCACAAGAGGATAAAAGACATAAAACATGAATTATACAGAAAGATAACACAACGATTCAATCCATTGAAAGTGTGGAGTTTAATACTGACAGACAGCTGAGAGTCCAGGGCATCAACATCTGATCTCGTCTCTGATGTTTTCTCTCTCTTTATTTTCAATAGCAGATCCTGGTTTTGCAGATAGTGTAAAGAATCAGCAGGAATTTAGATTCTGGGTTCAAAGGTTAATCCTCCTCGTCAGAAACCGAAGCAGAGCAGAAAGAGATTTCTCCTGTTGGTTTAGTTCAGACAGGAACAGATGATATCTGAGAGAATGAGCAGCAGCCGGAGGCCGAGGAGACGCTGTGCTGTAACAGGGAGATGAAAAGCTCATGATCCGATTCTTCCTTTTCCTATGAATGTGGCAGGTAACAAGAAGAAACGGTTTCATTCTCAGACCCAGACCAGGTGAGAGTGAAGGCAGAGCCAGGTGTTAGTCATACAGGAACAACTGTCAGTCACTGAGACTGAAAATGAAATGATCCTGGAGACTTAATGAAGGTGTCGGAGCTGAGTTTACTGCCAGACGCTAGTTTCCAGTTTCCATATGTTCTCCTGCAGCAGCTCTCACTGAGAGTCAGGTGTGAGATCCTGAAGGAGAGGTGAGTCAGTGTAAAACAGTTCATCCATAAGATCATATTTACTCTTCATAAGGAGTGTGAGCCGAGTTATTAAACCACATCCTCTTTCAGCAGCGACGTCCTCAGAAACACAAACACCGAGACTCAGATTTAAAGATCTCTAGACGTGATCACAGCATCTTTAACTTATTCTGGTGATTCAAGGTTTTATTTGTGTGATGCTTTCAGCTTCCTGTTTTCAGTGTTTTGGGCTCCACGTCTTTTTGTTCACACCACCACGACATTTAGAGGCTTCAGTATCTGGAATATCATTTATCCTATTTTATTTTTTATTTTGAAGGTTCAGGAAACTCCTGCAAAAATGAATCAAACGGGAAATCTTTTATTTTACTTCCTTTTAGACTCTCAGCTGCTCAGTGAACAGACTTTCTGTTGCTGTTCCTCTGTTTGTTCTGTTGATGGGAGACGAGAGGCAGAGACCTGACGCTCTCACTTGTGTTGAGTTGAAGTCGACTGAATGAACAGCACCGTTAAAATAAATCCCATTATTTTTTCTATATTTTGCGTTTTAAGCAGCTTATAGACACATTCCACATGTTTGTAGTTCCCTGACTTTAATCTCTTTACAGAAGAAAATACAAGTTTCCTGTAAGATACAGACACAGCCTCAGAGCAGAGAGGAGTTAAACACGAAACCTCCTGATTTCAGTGAATTTAATTCTGTGTAGTTATTCTCTCTTGTCATGTGTTATTGTTCCTGACTATGGTTGACTCCGGCAGCGGCGGCGCTGTCAGTCGACAGTCTTCACTGAGGTTTGAGTGAAACTGTCACACGCTGCGAGTCAAAATGATTTCCAGAGTGGAGGAGTGATGGATTCTAAACAGCCTGTCACTGTGAGCAACCGTCAACCATCAACCATCAACCGCCGACCACCAACATACGGGCTGTTCACGCTGAGTCCTCAGTGCCTGTCATGTGACAGTGAGCCGGGGAGGACAGCGCTGTCTCTGAGACACCGGGACGTGGGCTGACTCCGACTGATCGGTGTGAACGGTCACATGTCGAGGAGCGATTATGTCACAGCGACGGTCATTTTCCCTCCAAAACAAATGGAGTCGGACGGAAATATCAGCAAAACCTCACACAGGCGGTGTGATGTCACACTCACAATCTTCATCCCTGTTTCATGATGATGTTGTTGTTGTTGTTGTTATTATTATTATTATTTTAAAATCAATCAGCAATAAGGACAAAATCATGAACATCAACAAACCTGTGAAAAATAAAATGAGAGAAATTAAGATCAAGAAAAGAAAATGAAGTTGAATTAAATTTAATAATTTCTCTCTTTCTTTCTGTTCACGCAGTAAATTCAACACGTTTTCTACAGTTTTTCGTTGCTTTTGAGAAACGCTGGGAACCCGATCAGCTGATACTGATTCTGGGAGCAACAAGCTTTTTATCTTCTGCCAGTAAATATGAAAAAATGTCCGTTTTGTTTTGAATGGTGATTGGAAAGAAGTTAATTCTACAGTTGTGGGAGCTGCACTCACAATGAACTGAAGACTCCTCACCTTTCATTTGGTTCTTTACCTTCATTTCTTCTCCTTATTCTCCCTTTGGAACCTTTGTTTTCTGCCTAAACAGCAAAACATAATAAATATGTTTGAAAACAAATGTTAAATTTACCAGTAAATATGTAGATGTGTAATTAAGTAATTAAATATATAAATAAACGAAGGCTAAACACAGGTCCAGTGAGGCAGCGACCGTCCTCCTGGTTTAAATAAGTCAAACAGAACACGCCACACGTGTGAGTGTCGTCATTCTTCATGTTCTCTGATTGATCTGTTGATGGATTATTGATTTTGAGGTTTATTTTTTTGATGCTTCAATCACAAATCAATCAACCTGATGAACGGTGTTTAAGATATAAGGATGATGGGAACAGTAGTTTAACAATTGCATCATACAGAGGAGGCGGAGCTTGAGAAATCACCTTTACTATAAACAGGTCTGTTCCTCAGTGGTTCATGTGTCTCTGTCCTTGGTCCTGATCCCAGACCTGCAGAATCCTCACACCCACACCTGTCCCCCCCCCCCTCCCTGTGTCTCCAGGTGAACCTGGGCAGCCATCAGTACCTGTTCACAGTCGACGTGAACCCGTCTGAGATGCCTTGTCTCTGTCTCCGACACGACGTGGACGCTCTGGTGTGGCAGCCTCGTCCCGACCGGCCCAGTGACATGTGGGAGCACGTCGCCACCTTCAACGCCCTGGGTAAGAGCTTCACCTGAAAAACACCTGTTCTCATGCTTCAGTCAGACAAACCCTGAGAGCTGTGGACAGCAGCTGCTGTTTGAGACCGTAGCTCTGACAGGAAACATGTTTTTATTCCTCCACGCCGGCGACAGTCAGAGCCGCCATTTTGTTTTCATGTTGTTCGTCTTTCTGTCTCATTCTCATGGACGCGATATCTCAGTAACACCTTGACAGAACGGCTTCAAGTTTAGCACAAACATTCACTAGCACTCAAGGATGAAGTGATTAGATTTTGGAGCTCAAAGGTCAAAGGTCACGGGCATGGTGACCTCACAACACACAGTTTGGGCCTTGTTAACGTCATGTCTCAGTAGCACCTTGAGAGAATTTCTTCAGATTTGGCACAACCATCCACTAGGACTCAAGCATGAAGTGATTACAATTTCATGGCTAAGGGTCAAAGGTCAAGGTCATGGTGACCCCACGCCCTGTGGTCGAAACCAGTCTGTTCAATTTACTTTTTGAGATTTCCTGTTACATGTCGACTCTGATACGTCGTCACACATTAAGGAGTTTTCTCTGTGACCTGAAGTAAACCCAGCAGCTTCCTTTTGTCTTCAGTTACACATTAGATTTAATTTGAAGTGTCATGGGACTGAAACGCACCGTCATGGCCGCCTGCTCTCACTTCAGTGACCAGTTAAGTCGGAGCAGGTTTCGAGGGTAATCACGTTTACATGCAGCTCGTCAGTAATCCGATTTATTCCCAACCCCCGACCTTCTGCCTCCTCACTTCTTTTAGTGTGTGTGTGTGTGTGTGTGTGTGTGTGTGGTGGAGCGACTCTGAAGTTTCACTTTCAGTCCGAGTGACTTTAAATATGAAAACTCGTCTCTGTGTGATGTCTTGTTCTTACATCAGTGACTCTCCCTCTGTCTCAAGTCTTTGTCGTGGTCACGTGGTCACATGGTCACGTGGTCACATGGTCACGTGGTCACGTGGTCACATGCTCGTGGTTAGAAACATGGCAGACAGATCTAGTTGCTCTGTCGTTCTGATGGTTCTGTGTGTTTACATGAGGCTCAGAAAATCTGGGTAAAGAGACTGAGAAAGGCTGAGTGTTACCGTGGTTACTGGAGACCATGAAATGCACTGATTTTAGTACTTCAGTTAAAAAAAGATGCCTCTTCTTCGTTGGTAGAAAATCAGCCTCTGTCTTCATTGTTCTCTCCCTTTGCTCTTTCACTCTGTGTCCTCACCTCCACTTCAGAACGAGCCCAGTCCAAGGTCCAGTTCAGACCAGTTCAGACCAGTTCAGACCAGATGTCTCTGACCTGATGTCTTTGACCTGATGTCTCTGTCCTGATGTCTCTGTCCTGATGTCTCAGTCCTGATGTCTCTGTCCTGATGTCTCTGACCTGATGTCTCTGTCCTGATGTCTCTGACCTGATGTCTCAGTCCTGATGTCTCTGTCCTGATGTCTCTCTGTCTCCTCAGGCTACGTTCAGGCGTCCAAAAGGGACAAAAAGTTTGCGACCTGTGCTCCGAACTTCTCCTACGCGTCTCTGTGCGAGTGTCTCCGCCGCGCCTTCATCTACAGACAGCCGTCGCCGGTGGAAACCGTGCTCTTCAACAGGAAGCAGGGACGTCAGGTAGGGCAGGTCGCCAAGCAACAGGTGGCCAGTCTGGACTCGGACAAACCCATCCTGGGCTTCAGAGCGACCAATGAGAGACTGTACATCCTGACCTCCAGTAACCTCTTCGTCCTAAAGGTCAATAATAATTAGAAAGGTTTCATCATTCCAAAATGAAGAAGTGTCAAGTGTTTTCCTCTTTTCACATTTTCATCTGTGAAGAATCTGTCGTTCAAGATCAAAGAGTCAAGAAGCAGCTCTGGACTAATTATGATAATGAGCTGTAACGAGCTGAAGGTTTGTAAATGAATGTCAACGATTAAATATGAATCAACGCACTGGTTCTCATGGATCTATTTGATGATGAATATACATTTCCTACAGGGAGGATGGATGATTGATGGATGATTGATGGATGATTGATCATAATGGATGATTGATGGATGATTGATTGATGGATGATTGATGGATGATTGATGGATGGATGATTGATGGATGATTGATGGATGGGTGGATGGATGATTGATGGATGATTGATGGATGATTGATGGATGATTGATGGATGGATGATTGATGGATGATTGATGGATGATTGATGGATGATTGATGGATGGATGATTGATGGATGATTGATGGATGGATGATTGATGGATGATTGATGGATGGGTGATTGGATGATTGATGGATGATTGATGATTGATGGATGATTGATGGATGGGTGGATGGATGGATGATTGATGGATGATTGATGGATGGGTGGATGGATGATTGATGGATGATTGATGATTGATGGATGATTGATGGATGGGTGGATGGATGGATGATTGATGGATGATTGATGGATGGGTGGATGGATGATTGATGGATGATTGATGATTGATGGATGATTGATGGATGATTGATGGATGGATGATTGATGGATGATTGATGGATGATGGATGGATGATTGATGGATGATTGATGGATGATTGATGGATGATTGATGGATGATTGATGGATGATTGATGGATGATTGATGGATGGATGATTGATGGATGATTGATGGATGATTGATGGATGGATGATTGATGGATGATTGATGGATGATGGATGGATGATTGATGGATGATTGATGGATGATTGATGGATGATTGATGGATGATTGATGGATGGATGATTGATGGATGATTGATGGATGATGGATGATTGATGGATGATTGATGGATGGGTGGATGGATGATTGATGGATGGATGATTGATGGATGATTGATGATTGATGGATGATTGATGGATGGGTGGATGGACACCTTATTTATCCACTAGGGGAAATTCATGTGTCAAGTAGCTCGTTGGTTATAATACTGATAATAACGGTTTATAATAATAAATAATAAATCACAGTTATTATTAACAGTTATTATTAACTGTTAATAGTAAATAATAAACAATCATGTTGAGCTCTGTCACCACATTATTTCACACACACATTTCACAGCAGACATTTGTCTGAATGGATGATGGCTGCTGAGGCCTGGCTGATTGTAGTGTTGTATCAGATGGTCTTGGGGGGGGGGGGGCATAGGAAATCCCTCTTGTTGGCTTATTTCACAATCACCAGAAGATTCATCTTCATAAATTTACATAAACATGTTTCACACATCACACTGATGCATTACACTCCAGCTTCCCTACGTGAAAACGCCTTAAAATTCAATCATATCTTTTTCTTTTTTTCCTGGTGAAGGTTTAAAAGGAGGCGCTGCACATCTCATACAAGATGGGGTGTTTATATATATTTATATATATATAAACACTGCAGATGGGATTTGATGCATTTCTCTGAGCTATTAAACCATGTGCTGCTTAAAAACCTGAGGACAGATGATGGAGAAGAGCTCACATTTCAATATTTAGTTCGTTTCCTGAAGAAGAAGAAAAGGCAGAAAAAAAGACGATCCACTTCCTCCTCTTTATTTTTCCTTTGATTGTGACACAAGAGAAGGAAAGAGAGAAAAGAGCAGGAATGAAACCTGCAGGAAGGTTTTTACAGGATCAGATTAAAAACACTTGAACACAACATCAGCCCTGAAAGAATCTCATTCACATCAGAGTCTGTTCATGTCGAGCTGAAGGTGACAGTCAACAGCCAACCACAGGTGTTTTATCCAACCCTCTGATACGACCAACCATCCACCTGAAACATGAAGCTTCAACAGTGAAGAACCAGAAGCTGCAGTTCCTCTAACGACCACTAGAGTCTGGCTCCAACAGTGAGTCAGTCCCCATAGACTCCCATGTTAAAATGTCCAACTTTACAGCAGAAATAAACATGTTTACAGCCTGGTACAGAAACTGTTTTGGTCTCTAGAGCTAATTTCCTCCTTCATGACACCTGTTTATATAACTCACCTGTTTATATAACTCACCTGTTTACATTTTATTAAGGGCTAAAGTTATGGAGGATTGAGGGCGTGGCCTCTGAGTGACAGGTGGGGGAGAGTGTCAGTCACAAACCGTCACCTCTTTGACCATATTTGGATTAGCTGGGAACAAAGAGTCAGACACTGCCAAGATGGCGACGGTGGAGCTGCTCACTCTCAGCTTCAGAAACCTGTGTGACGTCACGGAGGCGACGTCCATCTTTATTTACAGCCTGTGGTCGTAATCAGCTGCTTGGAGCTCGTTTTTCACTGTTTGGTAAAACCATCAGATTTTCAGGAACGATCGGAGAACAGCTGGAACCAGTTTATTGATCAGGTTTGAATTTCCAGTGAAGTGTGAACGGGAACAAGCGGAGAGCCGTGCACACTGTCCTGTTACTGCAGCGTCCTCGTCGATGCCTTCGCAACTCACCGGCCTGTGATTCGTGTCTCGGGCTCCCCTGAGTGCTGCAGGTCTCTGAGACTCCACTCCACAGTCAGCAGGTAATCAGCCTCTTCTCTTCTCTGTCATTGTGTTTGTTTTGTCAGGAAAATCCACTTTTCCTCTGTTTTTATTTAATTACTCGTGTGCAATTGAATTAGAGCGCACTGCTTGTTTTTATTAGCTGCAGCAGCCCGGCTACATGACTTGAAGGCGGCCTGTCAGAACCACTAACGTCTGGCAGGAAGAGCTCTGTGTTGACTGAGACGCAGAGGGACAGAAATAAAAACATGTTGTGAATCCGTCCGACCTCACAGAGCTGGATAATTGAAGATTTCCCAAACCTTCATTTCGCTGCTTTCAGGTAAACGACGTTACGTCTTTAAAAGTTGACTTTCTGAAAACTTTGTTAAAAAAGCATTTTGAAGATTGAAAGTCGAGCTTTATTTTAAATTTAATCAGTTTCTCTAAACGAGTTTTTATTGGCTGAAGGTCCAGAGACTCGACCCCACCCTAAATTAAAATCAACACACGGCCGACTCGTGTTTCACCGCCACTGTTTTTATTTTCATTCGTTCAGTTCTTCAGCTACAGACTGACTCATTTAACATGCAGCTTGATCAAGTAAATTAAATTTACTTTTATAGATTATTTAATGAAGCTTTAAATTAAAGCTCAGCTGAGCAACAGTACAGGGACGCAGCTCTGCATCACAAGGCAGGAGTCCACCACAGCAGCACATAAAGAAAAGGTTCAGGCAACATGTAAAACTGAAGCTTGTGTAAAAAAATATAAATAAATATGATTTTAGACGAATAAAACAAGATCAAAGTTTTAATTAAAGAAATCTGAAAGTTGACAGAGAGCTCCGGTTTTCTGGAGTTAGTTTGACACGATTTATAAACCGACAGTGACGAGGGAAGTTTATTAACGTGGCACCGCTCAGACACAAGTTCATTCAAACAGCTTGAGGACGTTTGTCCCACAGGTGAGCAGTAGAGAGAGTAAAGATCACCTGTAGCAGATCACATTTCTGGATCCACGTCCTCGTTTCAAGACCAGCAGGATTTTAAAATCTGACCTTTGACTCACGGTCCTTTAAAATCAATTTCACAACAACAGAAGACACAGTTCAAACAGTGATCGATTGATTGATTGATTTGATTAGTTACTGATTTGATTTTAGCACAGAGAGCTGCTGTGGAGCCGCATTAATGTTTAAATAACAGCTGGTTCCCACTTCCCATCAGCCCCCAGCTCATCACACTAATTAACCCTAACTGGTCCCAGGTCTGCTGGAGCGTCTTTGATCGGGACAGAGAGAGAGACAGGAAGTATGGGGGAGAGAGAGGCCGGATTCAAACCCGGACCGATGCAGTCAGGACGGGGTCTAAGTGTTACCTGCTCCACCAGGTGAGCCCCCGGAGCCTGCAGTTAAGAAAGTGTTTTCATGTTCAGCTGCTGAGACACGGATCATTTTAACATCACGTGCAGATCAATCAGCAGGTTCCTGTGAATAAACATCCTTAAATACCACAGTAAGTTCACTCAGGTTTGTTCTTGTTGGTCTTTAATTCTCCATGAATCATTCCTCAGAGTTTGTCCGCCGTCTCCAAACCCAGCGCCGTCCCTCTGTCTCTGAGTGACCTTGAAGAAACAACAGGTTTGTGATTGAAGCTGCTGGTCGTGATGGAGACGCCTCGTCTCCGCAGGTGTGACGCTCACATTTTAACTCATTACAGTCAACAGACCCGCAGATTTCTCCAGGAAGAAATGGCTGTCGAGTTGATTGCACATTCTTCAGTAATGAATGGGAGGTAATTAAATGTACACGTGTCTTACTGTACCTGCAGGGTCGCAGGCAGAGGACGTTACAGCGGCGTAGAAAGCGTCTTCAAACGAGGCAGAAAAGAAGGTTTTAATGTGAAATAAAACAATTTGTTGTCGAAGACAGAAAATATCCAGTTTGAAGATGTGTAACAGGAAGCTTTCAGTTTCAAGAAATACACGTCTTCACTTCCTTGCAGAGTTAGAGGAAGAGATGGAAACCACTGTCACTGTCTAGATATGAAGCTGCCAGGAGGTGGTTAGCTTAGCTTAGCATAAAGACTGGAGACAGCACCTGCATAAGAGGTTTTATACACTTCTGTTTTTATTCAGATTAATCAAATAAGATATCAACTCATCCCTCAGAGCGCCACAGCGACGTGACGAGTCTGTCTCGTTTCAAAGGCTCCTTCTTTCCCAAGATTCATTGCGCTGGTGATGAAATCAAACACTGACAGAGAGTCTGAGAATCACACCGTTAAATGTTGAGTGTTGTGTTCCAGCTCAGTTCAGCAGCTGACGGCTCAACTGTTAAAACCAAGAGCCTAAAAACAAAAAGTTTGAGTGAAAAAATAAAAAACTCAAGGTTGCTAGGCAACAGGAGTCACGCTTTGCAACGCAGCCGTAAGGGCGGGAACAGCCGGTGGCGCAAAGCGTGAATCCTCCGTAC